TGCTTGGTTAGTTTATATAAGTAATCCAAAGAAGAAAGACTTCTAATTAATTCAGAAACAAAGGGCCCAAGGTTCCTTGAGAAAATTCAGTTATAAATATAATTATTAATTTATTGATGCATAAATAGTTTTGTCTTTCTGAAGGGAAAGGGAGTTGACAGTGTTGATTATTAGAGTGTCTGGGACCTAGATCTTAAAAATATGTAGAATTACTAATAGCAGTTTCTGGATTGAAGATTTTGCAACACCTTTTTCTTTGTATGTGTGTAGGATTTTTGAGTGATGTCTACTTATTAGTAAACTGAACTTCTTAATAGTCTTTTGTTTTTTGTATACTTAGTTCTTCCTGCCTTCCTCTAAGGGGCCTTTTTCTTTAAGTACGCAGAATTGTTTTTACTGTCCAGTTATTTTTTTCTTAGTATGACTCAATCTTTGTAGCTATGATATTAAAAGAAAATGCAGCAGTGATAATTCTGTAGCTGGTTGTTAGTATCATGGGCTATGTGTGATTCCTGTTTTCTGTAAAACCAAGAATGTAGAATTTAGAAAATATATCTTGGATCAGAATGGTACAAACTATATTTGGCGAGGTTTCTTGTCTATCTACATTGGTGTCTCTTCATCTGTAGTTTCTCTACTATGATCCTCTTTTGTTTTCATTACACATTTATGCAAAATATTTAGAAGAGACTTTCTAAATGATCTGCAGAGGGCAAAATAAATGAATGGGTCTAAGCATGCATTCAAGGAAGTCAACCACAAAGTGGTCTCTTTTATATAAAACAAAATATTCTGGGTTGAACACTGAAAAACATCTCTTGTTTGGCTCAAAGTATAAGGAATTCTAGCAAAATGGAAAGGAACAAAGCAGATAAAAAATACACCAATAATTATGAAAATCTTGATATTCACAGTCTTTTTGTTTGCCTTTCCCAAACGTCTTGTTCTTTTGTAGGAGTTGTACAATTCCTGGCTAATGAGTATGTAGCATACAACTATTATAACCAAATTAATCCAGAAGATAAACTGGCAAATATATGTAACAACTTCATGCCATAATAGTCCTAAGGAAGATTTGAGGTCAGCACATTTCTTCACATTCCCATATGTTGGCTTCTTGTCTGTCAAAATCATGTTTGGGAGGGAAATAGAAAACATGAAAATCCAGATAATTATAGACAATATCTTAGCTGCTGATACTTTGTTAGTTCTTGATGATTTGAAAGGTTTGACAGTCTTCAAATATCGATCAAACGTTATAAGTCCCAAAAAAATAATGCTGATGTACATGGTGAAGTAAAATATGACCTGAGTCACCTTGCAAACAAACCCTCTCAATTTCCAGGAAGTCAGTTTCGCATCACTGAGAATTTTGAATGGAAACGTTAATACCATCAGGATGTCAGAAATCACTATGTTCTTAAGAAAGACAATGAAATTTGATTTGCTGGAGATTTGGAAGAAAACTCCCACAGCCAGGCCATTCATGATTATACCAATAAAGAAGATAATAGTATATAACAAAGGAAAGAGAACTTGATTCATCTTGCTGTCAGTAGTGCAGTTGCTGCTGTTTTCAGGAGGGCTGTATTCCAGTCCCATCGTAGCTTTAATTGCTTTCTACCAAAGCAAAACAAGCACATTAGTCATAAATGTCAGCTATTTTAATTAATGCTTCAATTCAATATTTTTAAACCCTCTCTATATACAAGTAACAGCATGAATAGCTTTTTAATATAGAACTTATGGTATAGAAAGATTTTTCAAAGTGATGAACAAATCACCTTGTGAGCAAAAGACCTGTTTTGAAACGAAGACCTGGGGGGAAGAACAATGTTTCAGACTTCCTTGAAGAAGTTTAAGATGAAGAAATTCTCCCTGCTCCTAGTTTTTCACCACTACTAACAAGCCTGTAAGGAGGTTGGCCTGAGAGCAATGGCCAGAAGTCATTCAGTAAGTTTTTATGATTAAGGGTGGTCTTGACCCTGAGCCAGTTCTAAACCATCACCATCATCATTACACCTCACTGCCTAAGAGGTTGCATGAATTCACCAAAGCACCAGAGGACAGGACAAGAAAAAAATTGTTGGAAATTGAACAAAGAGAGAAGCAACCTGGAATTAAGGAGAAACTTCCTGACAGTAAGGACAATTAACCAGTGGAACAGCTTGCCTCCAGAAATTGTGGGCACTCCATCACTGGAGATTTTTAAGAAGAGGCTAGACAGTCATTTGTCTGAGATGGTATAGATTCTCCTGCTTGAGCGGGAGGCTGGACTAGAAGACCTCCAAGGTCCCTTCCAGCTCTATTCTATTCTAAATGAACTGGGATGCAGCTGCCAGAAATGCCAGCCAGGACTCGGCCATGCTGGTTATGAATTCTAGGAAAATCCAATCCACGTGGGAAGCATTACTTTGGGAAAGGCATTGCTGGAAATAATCTGCATGTTTAGGAATTACAAACATACAAATTCAAAATGAAATTAAATAATCTTGCAAATAAATAATTGGCAATTTAGGTTTACAGTTCTGTAATCCAGAGGATAAGCATATAAAATGGACCCTGTTTCAAGAACCCACATAATTGAGAGTCTAAATGAAAAACTTCAGCCAGTTTTATTGTTATGTTTTCGCTCAGAAAGTAAAATACTCAAATGGAAGAACAATACAATCAAATTGAAGAAATGTCAGTATAGTAAAAAAAAATAAAGACATTATGACTGCAATATCAATGAACTCAGAGACCTTTTAATAGGAATCCTAGTGCTGTATCTCTCTCATCAAACCAAAACAAACAGAAGAAAACACATTTTACTTAGTTCAGGTCAAAAAAATTCCAGCTGTTTTATGTATCTTTACTTTGATAGGCAAATTTAATTAATGCAAGTGTAACTGAGCTTATACAAATACACGTGAATGCTGTTTTGTCCATTTATTTCAAAAAATTAAGACATGTTTATATTTAAGATGCTTCTTAAGTAAATGTTTGAAATCTCAGCATTTTATATATCTTTTCCAAAATTAATGGAAGTAAAATGTGTTTACTTTTAGAAGTTATAGAGTCAATTGTTGTTGGACTTCAGAACAACAGAAATGTCTGTTGTAGCTAGCATTTTACTTTCAACATTACACAATTACAACAGAATATTTTAAAAGATTAAAATGTACATACTGAACTGTTTGCTTCTGGAAATCATAAAGAATGGTCTATTGAATAGAAAGGAAATGCATACTAAAATTACAGTGAAAAATATGAAATTACCTTAAGCACTTGGATTTTCCTTCATTGGAAAATTATTTTTCCTGGAAACAAAGGTTTTCTGATCTGTTTTCCTCTCTTTTTATTTTGCCTTGACTGATTGCTCCAAAATAAGGCTTATATAAAAAAATTCCATCAGCAGAGATCTTTCTTGCAAAACAGAAGTGATAGAACTGGGTGAGTCAGAGCACACATGAGGAAGTAAAGTTACTTTTTTCCTTTAAACAGCTGGAATATAATCAATTAGAAACCAGAGGGAGGTTTCAGTTTTTTTACACTTGCTGTCCTGCATAATCAGAAGGTTTTCTGATTAAGAAAATAAATTAAAATATATTTTATAGCCAATCTCATTATTCCTTTGGATTCAACTAGAAGAGCGCTCATATAAGCTAGTAGAGTCTGGCACTAATCTTTTGATGAAAATCAAATTAAACACTATTTCTGAAAAACAACCAAAAATACTCACTATAATATAATTTAAAAACTTTTTGGCAAGAACCATGCTGGGTAGCTCAACTACATTAATGACATGAATGGCTTAGTAAAAGATAAGAGTACTTCTTTTCAGAATGGATTCAATACTGAATTCTTTGTGCATTTTTTATTATTGTTTTAAGGTGTAATCTTTTGTGCAAACTCATGAACACTGCACAAAGCCCTGTTGATCAGAGTTATGATCTGCTAATATTTTATCACCATCAAGATGAATTTTTAAATTTTCATTGAAATGAAGAAAATCTGTGCATGGTCAACCATTGATTATGTTGGTTAGGATTGTAGGAAGTTGTACCTCTCCTCTCCTCTCCTCTCCTCTCCTCTCCTCTCCTCTCCTCTCCTCTCCTCTCCTCTCCTCTCCTCTCCTCTCCTCATATTCAGTCCTGATTCCTGGTGACTTCATGGATGGATCCATGCAGTTTTCTTGGCAAGATTTCAGAAGTGGTCTTCCATTGCTTTCTTATGCAATCCAAAATAACTCAGCTGGCTCATGTGCTGAAGCAGGACTAAAACCTGTGTTTCCCCACTCCTGTTCTACCATCCTTTCTAGCTATATTATACTCTTCATTGCTTTTAATATGTATGAACTGAACATAAATGTTTACTTGTATATATAGTAGTGATGGTGCTGGATTAGTACCTTTCCCCTGACTATTTTCTGTTCATTTCCTCTTCCACTGTGGTCTTCTATATTGGTTAAAGCATCCTGCAGATTTTGGGAATGTTCTAGGGCAGGGGTCCCCAATACTGGTCCATGGCCTGCTGGCAACTGGGCCATGCAAGTGGTGGATGGGCATGTCAGTGTCCATTTGCACATGTGTGGAATTAGGTTGCAAGTGCAAAACCATCCCCTCCCTGCCCCCACACCACTGCCATTGCCTGTCTACTGCCACCACTCCCAGTCTGCAAAGCCAGACTGCTGTTCTAGGGAAAATAAGGAATTTGCTTAAAATTATGTTTTTCTTATGCCTTTGGTTAAAGTATTGAGTGGATCAGAATTTCCATTACTGCAATAATGTCAAATCCAATATAATAACTATTTTCAAGTAGTTAAATATTTAGGGAGGGTTCTGCCTTTGCTCTTCCAGTACCATGGATGGATCTCTACTTCCATAATTCCCAGACAGTCAGTTCTTCATGGAAAAGCCATGCAGAAGTATTCTCTTATAATAATTCATTAGAGAAGTGATAAGACTTTCTTACTTTATTTATTTCTCAATACCTTTTCTTTCTTTTCTGATTAAAAGGATGAATCATCAAGTCATGAATATAACCAGCGCATAATACTTCTTTACGGAGTTGGAAAGGAACGTGAAGAGGCAAGGCACCAATTAAAGAAGATTACCCGAGATATTCTGAAAATCCTAAATAAGAAAAGCACTTCTGAAATGAGCGGTAATTAACTAGCTGTTGATGTTTATTTTGCAGTGCACAGAACAGCACAATGGTGGATTAAGAAGGGGCATCTTGATAAAGTTTGCAAGTTTTTAATGAGAATTATCTTTCTGAAAAACTATTCTAAAACTGCTGCGAAGCATAACATGTAAACCAATTATAATTAGCTTGCAATTTTTTTCATAGCTAATTTAAAAAACATACACTGTACAAGGATAGACTTTATTACAAGAATTTATTGTATCATTCTGAAGCCACTAATATAACCTTCAAAAGATTGTAAATTGAAAGGCATTTTTTTTTTAAAAAAAGCTGAGGGTTTTCTATACCAGATTGCAAAGTAATTTCATATTCTTTATTCTGAAATATATTTAAATAGAGCTGATTTTTAAATAAAATTTGCTTTTGACATAACATATGACATATGTTTTAGGTGCTGATGAAGGACCAAAAGTCAGGAAGAACAAGCAAGATGTATTTCCAACTTTAGAGACTGTATTTACAAAACTTCAGCAGCTCTCATACTTTGACCAGCATCAAGTGACAAGTCAGGTACTTATAAGCTGCCACTGATGACAGAAATTGCTTTGAAGTTAGAACATAATATAAAATACATGCAGTATAAATTGGAAGTTGTGGAGAGAAAAATGTTCATCACAAGAAAAGAACTGCTAGATGAGTACAATAGGGCTGAATTAATGAAAGCAAATTTGTGTGTGTGTTTCTGGGTATACAAAAAAGGATTAGACTATGAGAAAATGCTAGAAGGTGGATTTTAGGCGAGTGGGTGGTAAAACAAAGAGAACATTTCAGACTAACTAACTAAACTTACTAACTTTTGAATCACATTTAATTGTTAGTTCATCTAGATTACTTTAAATGGCATTTCCCTATGTCATTTTAAATCACAGCTGCTAGGAACTTAGCATCTTGATTCATGCTACAATGATCACTAGAAAATTAGCCCTAGCCTGCATGTTTTGTGAATAACTGAAGGTGCTTGCTTTGATGCCAAACATGAACGAAAAGAGACACAGCAGCATTGCAAGCTTATTTCTGTAATATTTTCATTGTATAAATTCAGACATTCTCACTACATTAAATCTTTATTGTGATGTTGAAACAATTTAAAAAAGTTTAAAACTGTTCTAGGGCTGAGCCAGGAAGAATGTTAGTGCTAGTACATTTTTGTCTTTTTGGACAAAAGATGTAAACTGGAATTTTGTACTGACTGCAAAACTTAACTTGAGGAGAGTATGGCATGTTGGAGGAAGAAACTGCTTAAATTTGGAGGAAGTCATTGTTAAACTTGGTCTGAGTTAAGAGTCATTTTTTCCACTAAATGCCATGAGAAAAACACATAGGACTACACAGTGCTTTTTTTCTAAAAAAAAAAAAAAGTGCCGAAACTCACACACGTCATACAACCCGCCTTGCCTACCCTACAAGGTTCCATCCAAAAAAGGTGCCAGAACTCTGTTCTGGGCGTTCGATGAGAAAAAAAAGACCTGGGACTATAACAGAGTTAGTAATTATGCATGGATATTAGAAAAGTACAAGGAATGATGAATTTCTATTTGCAGAAAAAGAGTGTAGGAATTTTGAAGTTAACTTTAACTTTAAAATCTGCTTTTTAATAAAGTTATTAATTATTATTGTTTTGGGTAGATAGAATTAGGTAACATTTGTATTTATGTTTGTACTTACTAGCAAGAATAAATTTCCCACAAATAGGTGAAGAAAAAGTAGAGTTGTAGATTTGGAAGCAAATAAGAAAGAATAGTTAATCTTCCATATTTAGTGATCAACAATGTAACCTGGTCTGGATTCAGGAGCTGAGCAGGATTAATACTTGAAAACCATTTCTATATTATGTTAGGAAAAATTATAAATGTATCCATTAAATAACCAGGAGTTTAGCTTTATTTGAAAATGTAAAGTAGTAATAATGTGATCTATAGCAAGAAATCTGCTTAATTTCAGAGACTTGATTAGAATTATTTTGTTGCTTTGGAAATAACAAAATGTTATTTCTTAGAATACGACTATTTTATGCTCATCATTTATTTATATTCTTATTGTTTAGATGAGTTTCTAAATATAAACAACTGATTCTTATCTACTGCAAGCATTTTGATTTACACATAAATTTTCCTTAGATCCATCATATACTGCAATGGATATTTATTTATATTTATTTATTTATTTATTTACTATTTTTAAATTGATTTTGTCACATAACTCCAGGCAGTGTTGAAAATATATATTAAAATCTCCTGGCCTACTATAACATAGAATAAAATTCCTGTCTCCCAAGCTTGTTAAAATACAGTATATTAAAAAAGAAATATCAGCAGCTGAATGACCCTTAATTTTTGACAGTTGCTTTCATGCCTTTATAAATTGCAGTAACAAGAGAGCCAAGCACATCCTTGGGAGGAAAGTATAACAAAATATTGGGGCTACTACAGAGAAAGCCTAACTTGGTCTGTTCCCCCATAATAAGTTGTCAAGCAATATAACCATAATAAAATGATTGCAAGACACTGAATATATGAATAACTGAACTTGCCAAGTGATATCTCTTACAAAGAAGCAGAATTTTCAGCACAGTATACATTTTTTCATGCATATATGTATGATTTTGAATCATACTTGGCTCCTGGTGACATTCTAGAGAAGGACCTACAGTTTTCTTTGCAACATTTTTCAGAACTCCTTCCTAGGGCAAAGAGAGAGTGACTGGCCCTAGGTCATTCAGCTGGTTTTCTCCATAAAGCAGAACTAGAATGCACAGTGCTCCCATTTTTTAGCCCAAGGCTATTAACCGATACATCAAACTGATTGTCATTTGAGTTATTTAGACGGAAGTATACATTTCTCTTCACCGTAAAATAATTCTGGGGAAATAAGTGGAATGTCCTCCAGTTTCATATCTGCTCCAAAGAAGATAGGAACATAGTTTATTGTCTCGGGTGGTATTACCTGGAAGTTAATAAATAAATAAACAATAAACAATAAGCATCAATAAACAGAAGCCACGAAAATCTACACTCTAGAAATGAATTCCTTTTAATGCATCCAGCATCCATCTTTTTCCAGAGCTTCAAAGCATCAAATTATTCATGAAGCCTCATTTTCAGATCTTTGTAGAGATTCACTTTCACCTTGGGCTACAATTTTGATCTGAATTAATTTCTCTATAACTTTATACCCCCATCCCACCCCTTACAGTTACGTGTATGTATGCTTGCTAATTCTTTACTGTACTGGTTTCCACAATGCTTCAATTTGCTAATAGGTCTGTTTGTTTTTAAACAGATCTCCAACAATGTTCTGGAGCAGATTACTAGTTTTGCATCAGGAACATCATACCATCTTCCACTAGCTCATCACATAGAATTTATCTTTGATCTAATGGAACCTGCTTTAAATATTAATGGACTTATTGACTTTGCTGTTCAGGTACCTGAAATAAAGTTTATATATACATATTTATTTAAACTATTTTATTCCACCTTTTATACCTTTTAAGAGCACAACAAAATATTTAAAACAATACTTTCAATAATTGGCCAGAGACTTCATAAGTTCCCCTCATTCCATTTTATTAATATGGAAGCCTCTCTCTCTCTCTCTCTCTCTCTCTCTCTCTCATTCTGTCTCTCTCTCTCTCTCTCTCTCATTCTGTCTCTCTCTCTCCCCCCCCTCTCCTGCCGTGTTCCTAGCCAATTTTAAATGCTAGATATTTCATGATCAATAGAATGTTCACTTCCCAATCAGCAGAATCTTATTCTGCATTGCCCACATTAGGATCTTGTAAAATAATTAAATGTTACAAGATGGAAGAAAAGAATTCATACCAAATTCAGCTGGTTAGCTTCAGACACTACAATCCTGGGTACCTGTGTCCATAGGGAGAAAGAGTGGTATCCTAAAAGGCAAGATAGTAGTTGCAGTAGCATGATTAAAGCCCCTCCACTTTGCATGTGCATGTGACATCAACCATATACAAATGTATTGGCCTTTTTTTTTTTTTGCCTTTTCCTGTGAGTGCTAATGGCATTGTGATAGTGACTTTAGCAATACATTTGCAAATGCCAATGTGCATGTGCTACAGTGGCACGATAGCTTATTTCCATTTGCAGCTAAAATAAGGCAAAGTTTCTAGTACCTTTGAAATGGCTTTCACTCCTGAAGTCAGGAAACTACATAGTGTTTAGAGTAATAACTACAATACTACAATCTATCCAATTCTAGTAATACATTTTTTCATGTTAAGAAATATCTAAATCAGATTCACTTCACTTTTGTATAGTCTAATTATTAGAAAATCTTTTTTGAAAGAGAAAGCATAGACGTTTGTTCCAGATATAAAACTTTGAGAGAAAAATCAAAGACTTCTCAGATGAGGGAAGATCCTTGCAAATTACTGACTTGCCTAGGGGTATTTATATTTCTGTCTAAAATCTATTATATCTTTAATGCATCTCTTTGAAGAAAAGGGGATTACAGCACTGTAAGACCATTTATACATCATAGGAAGTCAGAATTATGGCCTTCTAAGTTATAAGTAATGAGTATCAGTATAGAAATGTCAGATCAGTGTGAGGATCTGACACAGCAGTTAGAGTGCAGTACTGCAGGCCACTTTAGCTGACTGTGTTCAGCAGGTCAGCAGTTCAAATCTCACCGGCTCAAGGTTGACTCAGCCTTCCATCCTTCCGAGGTAGGTAAAATGAGGACCCAGATTGTTGGGGACAATGTAAAATATATATATACATTGCTTACTGGTGTACACCGCTTAGAGAGTGCTTGCACTTAAAGCGGTATATAAGTCTCATAAATAAATAAATAAATGATGCTTTCTGACTCCAAGTGCTCATGGGAACATCTAGAACAGTGGTTTTCAACCTGTGGGTCACAACCCTTTTGGGGGTCACACGAGCCTTTCACAGGGGTCGCCAAAGACCATCGGAAAACACATATTTCCGATGGACTTAGGCAGGGCTTGTCAACCACCTTCTCTCCCTCCCCCCTCTGCTCCACCTCACTTGTTTGTGGAAAATATGCTGCTTGACGGCAGTCTGCATGAACTCTACCAAATGTGCCCTGCAGGGGGCGCATGAAGAGCGCAGGCACAGATCAAGGCCCCGCCCTCCCCAGAGGCTCATTGTGCAGCAACCAGATTGACTTCTTCTCGTGCACGGAGGTCAGCGAAGAGAGGCCACCGCAGCACCCAACTCCGGCGCCCGTCAGCTGGCGACCCCCGAACTTACACTTGTCAGCTGGGAGGTCTGACGACGGCTGCTGGTCTCCTTTGCCACCCAGCCTTCCTCGTCTCCTCCGCCCCTCATGTGGAGCCCGCCAGGGCTTGACAGGGAGAGAGGGAAGGAGGAAAGGATTCCTCCTCCTCTCCTAAGCTTCAAAGCACGATCAGCTTCCCAAGGGCGCCACAATCCTCACAAAAGGGGGGGGAGAAGCAAAGGGGGCGAGAAAGCTCGCGGCGGGCTCGAAGGAGCACCTGTCAGCATTGGTGATGAGAAATTCCCCACAAACCCAGGGAAAGGGTGCAGAAAAGAAGCTCCCTTTGGGAGGAAACCGCCACCTTCTTCTCCTTGGCTTTGTGCTCTTCTGTTCCTCAGCAGCCAGGCTGCCAAGCCTCTGCTGGCTGGAACTTCCTTTCCTTCCCTCCCTCTTGGTCTCTTCCTCCTTCCCTCCCTCTCCCATTGTCCCTTCCTTCCTTCCTTCCCTTCGCCTCCCTCTTTGTCCTCCTTCCCTCCCTCTCCCCCTTGTCCCTTCCTTCCTTCCTTCCTTCCTTCCTTCCTTCCTTCCTTCCTTCCTTCCTTCCTTCCTTCCTTCCTTCCTTCCGCCTCCCTCTTTGTCCCTCCTTCCCTCCCTCTTTCCCCTTGTTCCTTCCGTCCTTCCTTCCTTCCCTCTTGTCCAGGATCGGGGCGAGCCTCTACAGCTGATCTGCGCTTCTGCAGCTATAGCTGCTCTCCTTGGTTCCTGCCCAGCAAATTTGCTTGAGCTTTGCTAGAAAACATGCTGCTTGCTAATTTAGCAGAAGCACAAATCAGCTGTAGCCCAGCGCTGATCCTGGAGCTTCTGCTAACTTAGCAAGCGGCATGTCTTTTGGCGAAGCTGAGCAAGTGAGCTGGGCGGAGCTCTCCTCTGTCTCTGCCTATGCATAGGCAGGTTTGCCGGCAGGAAAGCCCCCAGCCACTCTGGCAGCCTATCCCCCTCCCCTTGTCCCTTCCTGGGCACAGAGGAGAGGAGGAAGGAAGGGACGAAGAGGGAGGGAAGTAAGGAACAATGAGAGAGGGAAGGAAGGAACAATGGAAGGGAAGGAAGGAAGGAAGGAAGGGACAAAGAGGGAAGGAAGGAAGGAAAGAAGGAAGGGACAATGGGAGAGAGGGAGGGAAAGAGGAAGAGACTAAGAAGGAGGTGAAGGAAAGGAAGGAAAGAAGGAAGGAAGGGACAATGGGAAAGAGGGAGGGAAGGAGGAAGAGACTAAGCAGGAGGTGAAGGAAAGGAAGGAAGGGAGGGAGGGAGGGAGGAAGGGACAATGGGAGAGAGGGAGGGAAGGAGGAAGAGACTAGGAGGGGAAGGAAAGGAAGAAAAGGGACAATGGGAGAGGGTGGGAAGAAGGAAGAAACTAAGAAGGAGGTGAAGGAAAGGAAGGAAGGAAGGGAAGGAAGGAAGGGACAGTAGGAGAGAGGGAGGGAAGGAGGAAGAGACTAAGAAGGAAGTGAAGGAAAGGAAGGAAAGAAGGAAGGAAGGGACAATGGGAGAGAGGGAGGGAAGGAGGAAGAGACTAAGGGAGGTGAAGGAAAGGAAGGAAAGAAGGAAGGAAGGGACAATGGGAGAGATGGAGGGAAGGAGGAAGAGACTAAGGGAGGTGAAGGAAAGGAAGAAAAGAAGGAAGGAAGGGACAAGGGGAGGGAAGGAAGGCAGGCACCCACCCCAGTCCCATCCCAGAGACCCACAGATTCCCCCCCACAGGCACTCTGCAACCTGAGTGATCAGCTGGCCATGTCCCCTGGCCATTGATCACGTGACCCTGGGACACTGTGAATGTCATAAGTATGAATCAGTTGTCAAGCATCCGAATGTAAATCATATGACCCTGGGGATGCTGCAACAATCATAAGTGTGAAAAATGATCATAATTTGCTTTTTCAGTGCTGTTGTAACTTCTAACAGTCACTAAGCAAATTGTTGTAAGTCGAAGACTACCTATACTGTCCCATTTTTTCCTCTTTTTTTTTGGTCAAGTTTTTGATACCCCCCCGGCCAGCTGGATGGGAGGTTGGGTGTCACCACAACTTGAGAAACTGTATTAAAGGGTCACGGCATTAGGAAGGTTGAAAACCACTGATCTAGAATTATTAATAATATAGATCCATAAAAATCCATGTTACATGAATGGTTTCTTGAACATGCCATTTAGATCAATAATTAAGTTTTTGTTGTTCTTGGTTGAGGTAATATTCTAAATAAACTATGGATACAACTATATGTAAAAGAAGGCCAGGACACTTCATTTAGTGGATTTGATCAAATTATTGTACACTCAGTATCTTTTGATTAGGATTTGATTAGGAAACCAGATTTTTGGCTATGTGAAACCACTCTATATCTACTTAAATAGTTCAGCAATGATAAACAACTACAATGCAACTCTGTAGCATTTAGATTTAGAGAGGAATCCTAAAGTGATATTTAACCTTTTATTTTAGCTGCTGAATGAGCTGAGTGTGGTGGAAGCTGAACTACTACTGAAGTCATCCAGCCTGGCAGGAAATTACACAACCGGACTGTGTGTTTGCATTGTAGCTGTGCTAAGGCATTATCATCCTTGCCTCATTTTGAATCCAGATCAAACTGCTCAGGTTTTTGAAGGGTTTGTAGTGGTAATGTTTTTCAGACACATCTTAGTTTTCTAACATTAGTAGGTTCAGTTTGTAATTTGGATGCAGCATTATTAGAGAGTTTGGTGGGAAATTTACACCATCATGTAATCAGAAAGGCAGAAACTTAATAGAACTTGAAATGCAAATACTCATTATTTTCCCAATCTAATAGATGTTAAAGTGCCTGAAGTAGCCTTATCTCTCGGCTAATAACTTCTTCAAAGATAGGCAGTAATCCGAGAAGGAAGATCTGAATTCTAATTTAATAAATACATTTACAATGTATTGGACAGAATACATCTGCACATGTATGAATTCTTGGTTTTATGTAGTTGAATTCTTTTTTTTTTGTTATTCTATACATGTTATTTTTATTACTTTATTAGTCTTAAAATAAAAAATATATACAAATATTCTTTTTACCACTAGATTAGTGTTAACTAAATTTATTGAAGAGGCATTGTGTTTTATGGTTTTGTGAGATTGATTGACTTGCATATCAGCTCTTAGGTCTTAGAGAGTATCAAATTGTCTATAGTATAGATAGATCCAGGATGGGTATACAGAACCTTATTTTAGGCTAAGGTTGTATCTAGCTTTAAACTTAAGTTCCAGCAAGCCAAGATAAATCTAAAGTTGAATAAATAATAATTAAGTAATTATATACATTTAATTTTATTATTTCATGTGCCCCTGATTATTTTCCTTGTCATCACATTTACATTTATAATTTGCTGGCAACCTTTGGAAGGCTTTACAGTAGAGGGTCACAGATAGTGCCAGGTACATTAGTTGCAGATTCTTCATTTAGTTTGTACACAACTGTATTTCTAGAATTAAATATAAATAAATATTATTCCTTGTCTTAGAAACCCAGAATAGCTTTTAAGACCATATAATTCGATCGTATAGTTTTAAATCATGTGAAAGGGCAATACTGTGACTGACTTCTAATTTTTAATAATGAATTTATCTTCCTATAGATTATGTGGTGTGATCAAACATGTTGTCAATCCATCAGAATGCTCTTCCCCTGAAAGATGTATTTTAGCCTATTTGTATGATCTCTATGGGTCCTGTAGCCATCTTAGAAGCAAATTTGGAGATCTTTTCAGGTTAGTAGTAACTACTTATACTTTGCTTTATATTTCAACTAATGCAATAATCGTTCACCAGTCTGATACCTTTCAGAATTGGAATTAATAAAATCAATCCCAACACATCTGAATAATTACAAAGTATAGAAAATATCATTTAACTGCAGATATACATGCTTTCATTTTGACTTACATAGGCACTTCTACATGAAATGTTTATATGTTTTCAGTTACAATTTCCTATTACTAACATTTTTTTATATTTACCCAGTCTTTCTAAGACATTTTTATATGTATTTTCCTAATACGTATATTTTGTATGCATGTTCTGTTTATGCACAGAATTAATTTAACATAAAAACAGGTTAACTTAAAATTAGCTTTAAAAGAGTTACAAACTTGAAGGAAGGGAGAAAACACCCATATGACTCCCCCCCATAGTAAAGACTAATTCTGATTATTGCTATTTAGTAATAGTAAATTGATTAAATGCATGTTAAACTATGAACTGAGGAAATTTATCCCCATTCCTTAATAGCTTTTAATCATACTTCCCTCTCGCAGTTGCTACTATTGAGCAAGGTACACCTATACTATACCTGTGCATTTGGTTTTTCTTGCCTAAATGTAAAATCTTACTTTTTTCACCATTGAATTTCATTTTATTAGATAGCGCTCAATGTTCCAGTCTGTCAAGATCCTTCTGTATCTTAAGCCTATCTTCTGGAGTGTTGGCTATTCCTGCCAGCTTGGTGTCATCTGCAAATCTGATGAGTTTCCCATCTATCCCCTCATCCAAATCATTGATGAAGATATTGAAGAGCACTGGGCCCAGAACAGAGCCCTGGGGCACCCCACTACACACTTTCCTCCATGTAGATCCAGTTCTATTGAGGACCACACACTGAGTACGGCTGGTCCGCCAGCTACGAATCCATCTGGTGGTGATGCTGTCTAACCCATTTTTCTAACTTATCCAGTAGTAGGTTGTGGTCTACTTCGTCAAATGCCTTACTGAAGTCCAAATAAATTATATCCACAGCATTCCTCTTGTCTACTAATTTTGTCACCTAGTCAAAGAATGCAATAAGATTTGTCTGTTTTTGACAAACCCATGTTGGCTTTTGGTAATGACTTTGTTTGCCTCTGGGTGTTCGCTGTTTTGTTGCTTGATTATCTTTTCCAAGATCTTCCCAGGAGTTGAGGTCAGGCTGATAGGTCTGTAGTTTCCTGCATCCATTTTTTCTCCTTTTTTTGAAGATAGGAACTACTTCAGGTCTTTTCCAGTCCTCTGGTAGTTCCCCAATGCTCCAGGATCTTTGAAAGATATAGTTCAGTGGTTCTAAGATCATATCTGCCAGTTACTTCAGAACCTTGGAGTGTAGTCCATCTGGTCCTGGTGATTTGAACTCATCTAGGGTGGACAGGTGTTCACTTACATTTTTTTTTTGCCTATCTTAACTTGTGTTTCTAATCTGTTTTTTACGGTACTGTTTTTGATAGGTTGGACTGTTTTTTTCCCTTTGTGGAAATACGGATGCAAAAAATGAGTTTAGTAGTTCTGCTTTCTCCCTGTTGCTTGTCACCTTCTTGCCACTTTCTCCCACTAATGGACCAATCATTTCCTTAATTTTTTCTTGTTTTTTACATGTTGAAAGAAGCTTTTTTTTTGTTATTTTTGACTTTTATTGCAAGTCTTAGTTCATTTTGAGACTTAGTTTTCCTCACTTCATCTTTGCAGGCTTGAGCTATTTACTGATATTCTGCCTTAAATATTTCTCCAGAAAATCTGTGAATTTATTGCCAAGTAGTTCAGTCCCTTTCTTTGATGGATGCAAACCATCTCTTTTGTACACTTTTTCATTGGATCAACTGACAGAAATAGTTCTGTCTGGCATTTGATACACCTGTTCTGGTGTTCTGCTATGGATTTTTTTTATTCCATCCTTGATTATCAGTTGACCTTACAGTTAAAAGAAAGCAGTAAATAATTTTTTTTAAAAAAATCTTAGAGATAAAATTTTGGAATTTTCTGTTTAATATTTTAAACATATTTTCTTGGACTTGAAACTTTCCCCCCAAAGCTGCCCACTGGATTTCTTAGGATTTCAGCTCCACAGATTTAGAGGCAATTTTCTTATTATGAATTGTCAATCCTGTGTACATGAGCAATTTGGAGAAGGAAACTGTAGTATAAAACACACTACATTGTTAAAGAAAAGGATTGCACAGTATCATAATTGATTTCAGTTAATATTTTACTTCATCTTTGTTCTGTTTTCTAATAGATTTACAAAGAGGACAGATTCCTCCTAGATATTTTTCCATACTTAAATGTATAGCTATTCTAATATTAATATGTAACCATTCCACATAAAATAATTCATTTCTCAAAAAGAGAATATGAAATACACCTTGCTTCTTTTTACTTTCTGTCTCTTCACCACAGTAAGACAAGTCAATCTTACTTTTTTAAAATAACTAAAGTCACCTCAACCTTACTGATTTCAATTTACATAGTTTTATTTCCATTAGCTGACAATTTAATTATAAAACTTTTGATTATTCTGCTCTGAAGTTTTAATTTCCTATGAAAGTACTTTTTTAAAAAAATCCTCACAATATATCAATGTATCAGAAGAGAGCAGATATGTTGTTTTTGCTGTATCACACAGATTAGCTTTTCCAATAAACTTACAATTTACAGGTCAAAGTAACATTTTACATTTTTTTAAAATGTGGAATCAGATGATCTAATAAAACTTTTCAAATGAAGTTCTTACCTCTATTTTCCATGCAGCATATGAAATTTCTATACAATTCAGAAGTTAAAATTCTGTCACTTCTTATATATTATCCATTTTGACCAAGGTTCCTTTAAAAATACCCTCATTTTGGAAATGAGTTATATTATCTACATTTTCTAAAGCTTCTGGTTATATGATGAAAAGCCAAGCATTATCTAATAGTGCCTGGTCTGCTGTGTTGAATAATACTTCTGCAAATTTCTTAAATCTTCCACTATGCACAGGTTGCTTAAAGGAAACTTCAAAGTATTTCCTAAAAGTTTGCATGTATTGAGAAACCAAGTGATGAGTTTTTCCTATTGCTTTAAAAAAGAAGCACTAAAAATGTGTGGAAGGTATTTTCTATGGGTCTCTTGATTATTATTCACTTCTTATAGTTCTAAATATTCTAAAGGGACAAAATATGATTTATTCAGGGCAGAATTGATTCTGAGTACAGCTTCAAAGTCACAATCAACACTATAGTCCCAAATTATTTTGTGGCATGAAATGGAATTAAATGTTCCTCTCCCAAGTTTTTATATAACTTGGCCAATATTTCCTTTCTTCATCTTCCATCATTATTACCATGCATTAGTGGTACCTCCTATATTCTACTCTGAAAGATAACCAGCCCTGAAATTTAATGAATGTACAATAGTGATTCTCGGATCTTTCCTGTTCCTTTCTCTGTTGCTTAGTTGGGTTTTGTAAATTATAGGAATTGAGACAAATGTTATAAATATTAGTGTCTCCCCCTCTCCACAAAAAATGATGAAAAGCAAGTCAGAATTGTTGTATGTTGAAAAGACTACAAGTTTTGATGCTATATCTGGAGAAAAGTTAAAGTGTTGATCCAATTTGCTTATAGAATAGTAGTCTGACTTTTTACATATATGTGAAGGATGCATCTGTACTTGACAATTTAAACAATTCCATTATCATGCATTGGAATATGAATGTGAAAAAGACTTGTGATTATCTAGGAATGGATGCAGTTGGTGCGCAAGACATACTGTATATGTGTGAAATCCTCCACCCTCCATAGATGTCAGATTATGCACCAGCTATCCCATTGAGAATCAAAGATAACATGTCAACTGGCCCAATAGCTAAACCCAAAACCATTTTCTATTATTAGAGTTGAGTCAGAGCCAGTCTCTCTTGATCAAGACCCCCACCGCCTCCAGGCACTGGATTAACCCTGAAATGGTGTCATTTGCCCTGCCAGTAGTAGACATATATAACTAGGTATCATCTGCATACTGATTATACCTCACTCTGTGCTGTTGTATGGCCTTACTGAGCAATTTCATATTAACAAGAAGCCCAAAGCCTAAGGCAACCTACATTGTACAGACTTAGAGCTGGTTCCTCCTCCTACCAATTAGTAGTGGCCACAGAGGCAGGATGAGAACCTCTGCAGAAAAGGGCCTTTGACACCCATTTTTTATAGTCAGTCCAGAAAGATACCATGATTGATGGTACTGAAAGCTGCTAAGAGATCCAGAACAGTTGCACTGTGCCCATCCCAAGCCCTCCAAAGGCCATCCACAAGCATAAACAGTGCTCTCTTCATATGATACCCTAGCCTGAACCATATTTAAAAGGGTTCATATTATTCATCCAGGTCTCTCTATATCTGAAACCAATTTCTCTCCCAACAGTCTTCCATAAAAAGAGAAGGTTAGAGACTAGATTGAGTTTTTTTCCCAAAATAGTGGGGTCCAAGGACAGCCCCTTAAGAATGGGGCGCACCACCTTAAGACATATGAAGGTGAAGAGAAAGGGGAAGACCAAGGATTGAGATAATAAAATCCTCAAAAAGAGATGGATAAAAAGTTACAAAAATAAAAATCAATATATGAAGCAGTGTATGGATGATTCACAAAGATAAATAACCTTGGAAGGTGTTAATATGAAATAAGTTTAGCTAGATTTGTCTTATCCCATACCTTTAATTTTTTTATCTTACTGCTCTACTTAATGTTAGTAATCTTAAAATCCTAAAAGGGAATAGTGTAAATGGTGTTCTATATGTGTGTACATATGGATCAACTTCCCTTTTCTAGTGACTGAGAAACATTCTCTGTGCTTATAGAGGAGATTTGTATACCTGTTTCAAGTCATTAATGTTTTAAAACTGTCTCTTTGCATCGCTGCCACATACAAGTATTTCAGTACTGTGAGAGTTCTGTTTTGCATAGTATACACAGAGTAATGGATAAGTTTCCTTCTGAGTTCTGGAATGAGATTTGTACCATTATTTTATATTCTTTAGCATCACAGCACTGATGTTTTGGAATCACAGACGCTATTAATCAGCCTGCTTTCAAAAAGTGTGTTGTAGACTAGGGCAGAAAAAATAAAAGTTTGAAAAAATAAATAAAAAGATTGATATGTGTTTATAAGCATCGGAATAATGTCACCCCATTTAGAATGCACTTTGTATCATACAGCTGCCTTCAGAATAAATATTTAATCAAGAACATTTCGGGAATTGCCAGATGTTAAGTAGGATCTGTAAAAGACTTCAAGGGGTATTTTAATTATCCAGGGGTTGAATGTTCATTTGAGATTCTTTCTCTTACTTATTCTGTTAATTCCGTTAATGCTGATGTGGCTCCCCCAATATATATCTGGCATGGGGAAATCTCCACTCTCTTTCCAAAACATCTGCAGCAGGATTTTGACTGTATTTGCTGCTCCTCTTTTTTCTAGCATAACAATGTCCAAGATGTTTCTCATAGAGGATACAAAGTAGATAGTCAACTTCATGTATTGAATCATACCCCAGCTATGTAGTCATACAATTCTTTGCCACTTGATTTAGGTACATTTGCTCTGGATTTTGTCCTAAATTAGCATGGGTCATATATATGTTCTTTCCTGCTTTTGAACTTGCTGTTTAAAAATCTTCTTACATTTTTCCCTTGTTGTGCTGCAACATCTTAATCCCTCACTCAAGAATTGCCCAGGATTTACTTGGTTTTGAGACCCATTATTATTCATTTTTGGTAGAAAATATACTGCAGGTGTCCTCAACCCCCTGTCTGTGGACTGGTACCAATCAGTGATCTATTGAGAAGAGGGTCACGCAAGCGGTGGGCCAGTGTGTGAATCTCCATTCGTGCAAATAACATGTGCAGGAAACCATCCCCTTCCCACCTGCTGTTGGACCATGGAGCTGGAAAGATTGGGGACCAATGATATACTGCATCTTTTCAGTCATGCAGTTTCGGCTGATTCAACTATGTATTTTCTGATCTCTTTGAAAACTGGAGTTTCAGTTCTTCACGGTTATTTTATAGGTACAATGCTTTAAGAGCAAGCGTTGCAAAGTAAATTGTACACAATTCTAATTAGCTGTATAAGTTTGTTTTGTATGAAATTGTTTTACTTGCTTAATTTTTTCTGTTTCTTTTCTTTTTTTAGTAGTGCCTGTTCAAAGGTAAAGCAGACTATATATAGCAATGTTCAACCTTCAAATTCCAATTTGTTATGGGATCCTGAATTCATGTTGGATTTTATTGAGAATCCCTCTCTTTGCAACCTTAAATATTCAATGTTGGGCAAGATTCTGAGTGACAATGCACCAAGTCGCTATAGCTTTGTGTGTAATGCACTAATGAATGTCTGCATGGGCCATCAAGATGAAGACAGGTAAGGCTATTTTGCAAACATAAAGCTTCTTATTTAGGCAAATTTTGCAAGCACTGTACCCATTGGGGTCTGCAATGAGATCAAAAGAGGAGAGATAGATACAGCTATGCAAAACTAGATGTGTTTCTTTCATTTGTCATTGCATTTGTGCATACAAGAAGTGGGGCATGTATCATAACCTGCCATCTTGCTCTTGTACTTCACTTAGTCTCTTACAGCAGGTTTTCCTGCCGTGGGCTTCTTCCCTAATCTCTATCATTATAAGATGTGCTAACAATACTTCCTATAAGATTATAGCAAGAACAAAATTGGACATGAATAATTTTGGCATAAGAATTCAATCCTATAAATTTTATTTCAAAGATTAAAAAATGATGGAAGCAGACTGATTGGGCTAAGAGATTGCACCTCATTGGCAGGACCAGCTGCAGGGTTTGGTAGTTGAAGCACTGTGCTTTGGTGGTTCTCTCCTTTCTCAGAGGCTGAGTTCAGTCAGTGTTGACAATGGAGGGAGAATACAGTAGATCATGCCCTTGGCTCCTGTAATGGTATGTGAGATGACCTTAGGAAACAGGAGGAAGTGCTGCAGCCTGTACAACTATCATGCAAAATGTATCTCAGCCCACAGAAGGAAGAGGGGAGTGTGAAAAGTCACAGAAGGGACCCTAGAGATCTAATTTTCTGGAAAGTAAAAGTAAAAGAAGAAGAAGTACTTGCAATGTTCTATTAGTGTAAGTTATAATAAATGTATTCTTAGTACTCATAGTTTGTGCCTATTGTCTGGAGCACCCCAAAGGGCTGACAGCTTTTCTTGGTGGAGTGCCCCAGGGCTCTGTTCCTTTTTGTTCAATAACTACATGAAACAATTGGGTGAGACCATCAGTCAGTGTGGGTTCTGGTATCATCAATATGTGTATGTACAGTTGAACTCCAGGCAACTCAGGTGATGCTCTAATGCTTTGTCCCAGTGCCAAATTTTGCAGCTCTGGATGGAGAAGAACAGATTTAGACTTAGTCCTGCCAAGGACAGGTTGCTGTGGATTTTTGGTCCCTGGATTAGGGATTTTCCATCTTTATTCTTGGATGGGGTTCCCCTTCACCCATTCAACATTGCTGCAGAATCTAGGGACTATATTGGACTCACAGCTTCTATTTCAATGACAAGGAGGCTAAGAAGATCTTTGCACAACTTCAGCTTCATTTGGTCTGCTAGTTGGGCCTATTTTTGAATCAGTAGGTCCTGATAGTTGGTTATTCATGGCCTAGCCATTTCACAATTAAGCTGTTGTAATGCACTGCAATGGGGCTGTCCTTGAAGACTACTTAGCTGCAGCTGGGTCAGAATGATGCAGTGCAGGCAGACATCCATGTGACACTATTCCAATAGTTAACTGGTTGCCAACAGCTTCTGAGTAGAGTTCAGAGTGTGTTTATCACCCATAAAGTCCTTCAAAGCATAGATCCAGGATATCTCCTGTGGTCTCTGCCCATTTGGTACGCTTCGGTTCCCTCAATTAAGTGATGCCATTTATTGGGGACTAGAAGGTATGACTTTTCTGTCATGGTGTCTGCCATCAATACCTGGGAAGATCCTGGAAAAGATAATCAAACAACGAATCAACGAACACCTAGAGGCAAACAAAGTCATTACTAAAAGCCAACATGGGTTTGTCAAAAACAGATCATGCCAGACAAATCATACTGCATTCTTTGACCAAGTGACAAAATTAGTGGATCAGAGGACTGCTGTGGACATAATTTACTTGGACTTCAGTAAGGCATTTGATAAAGTAGATCACAACCTACTACTTGACAAGATAGAAAAATGTGGGGTAGACAGAACCACCACCAGATGGATCCGTAGCTGGCTGACCGGCCGTACTCAGCGAGTGGTCCTCAATGGAACTGCAACTATATGGAGGGAAGTGTGTAGTGGGGTGCCCCAGGGCTCTGTTCTGGGCCCAGTACTCTTCAACATCTTCATCAACGATTTGGATGAAGGGATAGATGGGGAACTCATCAAATTTGCAGATGACACCAAGCTGGCAGGAATAGCCAACACTCCAGAAGACAGGCTTCAGATACAGAAGGATCTGGACAGACTTGAACACTGGGCACTAACTAACAAAATGAAATTCAATGGTGAAAAAAGCAAGGTTCTACATTTAGGCAAGAAAAACAAAATGCACAAGAACAGCATAGGTGGCACCATGCTCAATAGTAGTAACTGTGAGAGGGACCTCGGAGTCCTAGTAGACAATCACCTAAATATGAGCCAGCCGTGTGCTGCAGCTGCCAAAAAGGCCAACACAGTGCTAGGCTGCATTAACAGAGGATAGAATCAAGATCACGTGAAGTATTAATACCACTTTACAATGCCTTGGTAAGGCCACACTTGGAATACTGCATCCAGTTTTGGTCACCACGATGTAAAAAAGATGTTGAGACTCTAGAAAGAGTACAGAGAAGAGCAAACAAAGATGATTAGGGGACTGGAGGCTAAAACATATAAGGAACGGTTGCTAGAATTGGGTATGTCTAGTTTAACGAAGAGAAGGACAAGGGGGGACATGATAGCAGTATTCCAATATCTCAGGGGCTGCCATAAAAAAGAGGGAATTAAGCTATTTTCCAAAGCACCTGAAGGCAGGACAAGAAGCAATGGGTGGAAACTAATCAAGGAGAGAAGCAACCTAGAACTAAGGAGAAACTTCCTGACAGTGAGAACAATTAATCAGTGGAACAGCTTGCCTCCAGAAGCAGTATATGCTCCAACACTGGAAGTTTTTAAGAAGAGACTGGACAGCCATTTGTCCGAAATGGTTTAGGGTTTCCTGCCCGAGCAGGGGGTTGGACTAGATGACCTCCAAGGTCCCTTCCAACTTTACTACTATTACTACTATTACTTTCTAGAATGATATTTTCCCTGAGAGGTGTTTATATCCCACTCTACTGGTGGTGTTCCACAAGTTTTTAAAAACCTGGCTTCTCCCAGGACTTAGAATAGGATGTTTGTGAAGCTCTGGCTGGTTGGTTCTACAGTTTGTCCAGATGTTTAGGTTCTTTTGTTAAATTTAAATTTACTGACAAAGAATTAAAAGGAGACTAGTATAGCTATTTCAAGCTATTTAGCTCTCATCAGCAACCATACCCTTCTGAGATTCAAACTAGCTGATGAGAGCTAAATAGCTCGAAATAGCTATACTAGTCTCCCTTTAATTCTTTGCCAGTAAATTTAAATTTAACACAGAAATAGTCTGTCACAGAAGTGATTGCCTGCGAAGGCTCCTGGATTGGAACTGAAAGGTGAAAGTGGAAGCAGTGTGTTCCATCCCATATTTGGGGTAGACCAGGTTGCCCTGATAGACCGGTCTCACCAGAAAACACTTTAGGTTGTTTTGTTTTCCTATTTTACATGTAAGCTGCACAGAATTATTCTGGAGTCAAATGGGTTCTAAATCTACCAAATAAATAAGTAATAGTTTTAACAATCCTTCTTCCAAATTCTGAATGTTGTAATCATGCTACTGTTATAGTATAATATGATACATTTGCTTTTTTATATATATATATATATATATTGTCAAAATAATGATCACCAAGAGAATATCTATCAAAAATAGAATTTAATCCACCAAGCTTTCGTCAAATACATTTGACATCGTCAGGATTAAAAGGCAAACGCCGGGGGAAGTCTTATATACAGTTGTTTAATGCCTGTTTCCGGCTCCTGGAGCGTGTCATCGGCCCCAGCTGATCGAGTTGAGTCCCAAGTACACGCCCCACATCAGCACCTATCCTCTTTCCATTGCTAATTTGCATTCTGTCATACGTTACTCCATTAGCTGTTTCAGGGTTGGTCCGGTTGGGGGTCAGGATCTTTTCTCCTCCCCTGCTCATATCTTTTTGAAGGAAAATCATGCATGGAGAATGTCCTTGATGATGCAAAACTTTCCAACAATTCTATCATTGATTAGGTCCATAAATTCTAAATACTAATGTGCTTTGTGTGCTTTAGCTAACCATAAGGAAGGAACCTAGCATGTCTTATGGCTTAACTTGATATATGAAACCAATCACTATAAGTCATTCAACCAACAATAAATTAAAATAAAACTTTGTCTTAGCATGCTGCTAAGAAATTGATATACCCCAGATATTAGAAATTGCATTTTCACTTAAAGTTCATGTATCTTCCTGTAAGGTACTGTGGTATAGCTATTATAAGACATCAGATTGTCCAGCAATGTTGCAGTCTCTTGAATTTCAGACAGAGGACTAATTCTTCTAACTCTGAAAATTATTAAATAATCCATCTATTTGATAATTGGGTGATGATATTTTAAGAAGACTTTTTAAATAGCTTATACCCAGAATTAATTTAAATCATATATTTTAACTCCTTATATTTTACATTGACCCAAGCATATTTATTTTTCTCTTCTCCTCTCCATGTTTATTTTATATAAATATATTAATAAAAAAATAAATGTGTTTGGTTGCAGACCACTGATATGGCAAATATTTGATTGCCATTAAACTGTTACTTTTTACTTTGTTAGCATGGTTTTTTAAATTTATTTTTGTCTCCTAGAATTAATGATATTGCCAACTTGTGTGCAGAGTTAACTGCTTGCTGTACAGTGCTAAGTTCAGAGTGGTTAGGAGTCTTGAAAGCCCTTTGCTGTTCTTCAAATCATGTCTGGGGATTTAATGATCTTCTCTGCAGTGTGGATGTAAGTGCAAAAAATGCAATTAAAATAATAAGTCTGATTTTTGTTTTGCATGGTGAATATTTGTAGCTTTCCTGCATAATAAAAAAGGCATATAATTCTTTGATATTATACTTCTTATACATAACACAAATACTAGTTGTTAATTTACATGAGTTGTTCCTACAGTGTTTTGTGTTTTCCACTGGTTTCACAAGAGATTTCAGGAGAGATTCTACCTGATAGTTGAGCATAAAGGAAAGCAATAGTTTGAGAAACCTGCAACTGTTCATTGAAACCCAAGGACTTTTCTCTGTAAAACTGTTAACACTGAATTATGCCCATGAAATTAGGGTAGCATTTTATCAATACCTTTATTCTCCTGGTTTGGGGAATAATTCCCTATTGGCAAGGTAACTGAATCAAGGTATCTTGTCTTGCACAATATTATAATAAAGTGCAGTAGAACAAGCATAGTCTGGTGGCAGCTGGATATATCTATCTGTTTTGTTAATTATGACCTTAGCTACTAAACACTGTTACTTTTGCCTTGAATTGTATTACCTCTGTACAGCAATGGTGACTTCACATTTTCAGACCGCTGACTTGCTGGGATCATAGAAAGTTAAAAACCAGCAACTGATATATTATGGCACAGAATCAGGGAAGGGTAGATCAATCAATAGAAAGAAATAGAAAACCATACTTCTACATAATTAGATCTATGTAAAAAATACAATGTTTTTCTACTAGCAAATTACCCAACAGAAATATTGACCCTGGGTTTTTCTTTTTCTTTTTTTCTTTTTCTTTTAAGGTGAGTGATCTGTCATTCCATGATTCATTGGCTACCTTTGTTGCAATACTGATAGCTCGTCAATGTTTTTTCCTTGAGGATGTAGTTCAACACGTAGCTCTTCCTTCTTTACTTACAGCAGGTAAGATTTCGAGGTGTATTAAAACAGTAAGACTCCCCACTTCTTTGGGAGAAAGATTTGCTAAGATTGTTTGTAGAATAACCTATTTGCCCACTAACTATCTCTTTGGCCTAGAAAGCAAAGCATTTTATCTTTTTTGCATTTATAAATTGAACATGTATTTTTATTACCATTTTATCTGTGATTTCCTATTTCTGCCGTCAAATATTAATTTTGCTTTGGACTTTGTTACAGTGTATAACTGAAACTAACTGAACTGTTAGTTTCACACTCATGGTATTGTTACCTTTGAATTTTTATAAATTCATATGATCTTACATCTTGCATTATGTTTACTTGAAACCACTTCTTAGAGTCTCACACAAATTCATATTTAGCTTTTTAAATATCTATTCTGTATTTTCCAGTTTTCCCATTGTTATTTCCCATAATCTTTCCTCGTACATCCAAAATTTGTGTGTTTTTACAATTTTTTTTCAATCATGTATTTCACATTTCTCATTTTTCTTCATAAATTGTCAGTATCTATCAAATCTTCAAAATAGATTCAACATGTTAAATCAGTGCCCCCCCCCCAATCTTTTGGGCACCAGGGACCGATTCCATGAAAAGAGTTTTTTTCCATGGACTGGAGGCGGCTTGGTTTCACATGCTACCTGCATCCCACAGATGGGGCCCTGTTTGTTTGTGCGGCTCAGTTTTTAGCATCCCACGGGCTGGTGTTGGTCCATGACCGGGGGTTGGGAACCCCTGTGTTAAATAATAGCTTAAATCTTTTCTTATTTTATATAAAGGTGAAATGTTAAACTAGAAAAAATAGATAACAAAACAGAATTAAAATATATTTATAAAAAAGTCTTTATAAAAAAACTTTATTTTGCGGAATATTTGATATAGTAAGAATTTCCTCAGCACTGATATGTGAAAGCCTTATTTTTTATTTTTGTTTTATTCCAATGTTTAAAATTAGTTTCAAGATTTTTTTCAGATGGCACTAAAGATGACAATTTATTTTTCTATGATATAATGATAAAGTGGTACCCTTTTCTTAGCTTGTGGGGATCCAGATGCTGAGCCAGGGGCAAGAATGACTTGCCGGCTTCTTCTACATCTCTTCCAAACACCCAAGATCTCCCTTTTGTCAAGTGGTAAGAACTCCAAATTCATTTCCTCTCTTAAGTACAATAGTTTTTGTGCCACTGAAACAGAAATCAGTATTCCTAAAGAATATTGTTCTCTTTTTACACAGAAAAATGTTTCCCAGGAATTCGATCATCTTGTGATCGCCGCCTTTTAAGTGCTGCTCACAACAGCATAGAAGTGGGAGCAGTATTTGCTGTTTTGAAAGCAATTCTTATGCTTGGTATGATCATGCTTTAAAGTTCTTCATGTACATGTTTACTTTGAAGCTAGGCATATGGTCCTCAGAGGGATAGAGAATTCTTTATTGGCCAAGTGTGGTTAGACACACAAGAATGTTATCTCCGGTGCATAAGCTCTGAGTGTACATACAAATATACAGTGTACATATATACATACAGTGTACATACAAACATAAGCTCTCAGTGTACATAAACTCTCAGTGTATATACAAACAATAAACTGATAAATTATAAGATACCAATAGGAGAAGGTAATAGGAAAGATGAGAAGGATGATACTAATACAGCCCTACTACATAGGGAGACAGTGCTATGGGAATTAGGTATTTAGCAGAGTAATGGCATGGGGGAAAAACTGTCTTTGTGTCTAGTTGTTTGGACATGCAATGAGATTTACTCCCACATATACATTCAGACATTTACTGAAAACCTGATAAATTATAAACTTGAAACTTTTCTAGGAAATGAATCATGGTGTCAGAAACATCTTCCAGGATGAATCATAGATTAATAAAAGTACAAATGGGAGCTAGTATAGGATACTGTATAAGATGATCTGGAAAGTATGGTTAAACTATTGGGTAGGCTGTAGGGGAAGAGCAGGCAGAACTGGGAAGAGGAGTTATGGTCCTGATCCTTTGCGCTTGACACAGCCCAATGGAGACCAAGTTGAAGCCCCACTTGCCCACAGATATCAGTGTTGGCTTTGGGCCAATCCCTACCTCTTAGCTCAACCTAAGAATTAAGTTATTGTACTGGCTAAAAACAAAGGGGTATCCTCCATTTACATTTAAGCTCCTAGAAAAAAAGACAGATGTAAAATTAATAGCTAAATAACATGTTTACCAATCAGTATTTTTCCTCTCTAGTAATATAAATTCACTTTTAATGTGTTTGCTTATTAAAGTACATAATTTTGGTGTTGTAGGGCATTGTTTCTTATTTGCTTTAAGATAAAATTTAAAAATGTTTATCTTATATATCTGTAAGAACTCTAGGGACCAGGCAAATTATATCATACTATAGCATACATAATTGAAGAAATGTTTATTAGACTAACTTTTCTAAAAGAATAGAAATAATATACCAACAACTTCTAAAACTGGAAGTAGCATTAAGCAAAAACAAATTAAGAGGGCACTTAGGTGAAAGCCAAACTATATTAAAGGACTAATAAACCTTTTCATCTTTTTAACTATTCCTACAATATAGGAGATGCTGAAATTGGAAGCAACAATATTCCCTCCTTGAAAAATTCAGATTACTCAGTACAAAGATTACTGGAAGATCTAAATGATGATGAGATATGGGAAGCTACTTCAAAGACTTTGTATGGAAAAGCCATTTCCATAGAAACTGCTACTCTCAGTGAATATGCTAGATATGTACTAAGAAGCATTTGTCAGCAGGTAACACTGGTCTTCGTTTTCCTTTATTATTGTGTACATAGACATAATTTTGCAAAGGTAACATTGTTGCCATACTCCAGGGATTGTGAAAGTTGGTGACTGCAGGCTTTTTGTGTTGTGCATTGGTCTGTGTCTCCATGTGGAATTGAAGCAGTTACTCTTGCCAGTATATTCTAATAAATGTGAATAGGATCAATGTGGAGTAACTGTTGGAGTAGGACCAAAGACAATTGGTTTCCAATCTCTATTCAGCCATGACCAGTCTCTGTTTTATAGCCTAAACTGGGGCTAAGAGTATTATGATGATATAATGCCATGATGTATGCATTTTAACTCTTGCAAAGAAAGGTGAGATATGAATATATTAGATGCAATAACTACAACACTGAAAAATCATATTTTATTCAAAATTATTTCAAACCATGTATATAGTGGAAATGACTACTATATTTGTGTTCAAGTCAGTTCTTCAGTATAAGTACTGAAGTTACAATGCAAGATGAAGTTAGACTCATTTTTTGCCATAAAGAAGTAATATCCAGTATGAACTCCATACACAGTTAAGTTTGGCTTTGACTTTTGTACTGATGCTTATTCTCCACCAAATTCTTTTGGTAGGAATGGGTGGGGGAACACTGCTTAAAAGAACCTGAGAGGCTATGTACTGACAAAGATCTTATCCTGGATCCAGTTCTCTCCAACAAACAAGCACAGAAATTGTTGCAGCTTATCTGTTACCCTCACAGTATTAAAGAATGTTTGGAAGGAGACAATCCTCAGAGACAACACATCAAGCGCATTCTTCAGGTAACCACATTTAAAATGAATTTATTTTAGCTTAGATAAGAAAGAAGTTTGTGTTTGATTTGCTTTTTTGTTGCATTATTGTTGCTTACCTTTTTTCTAAATGAAGTGAACACTTGGATTATTGTTTCATAATTATTCATAGCATTTACACTTAGACTTATATACTGCTTCATAATGCTTTACAGCCCTCTCTAAGTGGTTTACAGAGTCAGCATATTGCCCCCAATAATCTGTGTCCTCACTTTACCAACCTCGGAAGGACCTTGAGCCCATCAGGATCAAACTCCAGGCTGTGGACAGAGTTAGCTTGCAATACTGCATTCTAACCACCAGGAGTTGTTAAATAGAAACTGTGTGCAATTATAAAGGTGAAATAATTGATTCACAGAATGGAAGGGTTGAAAGGGACCTTGGAGAATTAGCCAAATTGCCTCAGTCTGGGAATCTGCTATGGTAATACAGACTTTCTGACCATCATGGTCTGGCCCCTATTTAAATACTTCTTGTATTTAGGACAATTGTAGGACAATCTTTTTGATTGTTGTTTTTTGGATGCAATTAAGTTTGTCAGTATCTTCGCTAAAATTTGGGTGCTCAGAACTATACACTATATTCTAGATATAACCTGTTATAATATTTCTATTGCTTTTGGGGAGAGAAGGACAGCATCATTGTTGTGATGATCCATTTTTTTATTCATGTAATATGGCCTACAATTTTTCTCCAATGCATCCTGGATCAAGCTGGAAAAATACGTTGAGTGGCATACTACAAGGCTCTCTTTTAGGCCCAGTGCTATTCAACATATTTATATATAAGTGGTGGGGCTTATCTCCAAGGAGGATGAGACAGCCTAACAGGATGAAGCGGAGCGGTTGCTCTTGTGGTGCAGAGACAATAATTTGGTTCTCAACACAACTAAGACCAAGGAGCTTATAGTAGATTACAGGAGGAATAAATCAGACATTCAGCCCCTGATCATCAGCAGAGACTGTGTGAAGCAGGTGGCAAGCTTTAGGTTTCTGGGTGTTACCATAAAGGAGCACTGACCTGGAGTGCTCATGTTATAGCATTGGTTAAGAAGGCCCAACAGAGATTATACTGTATTTCTTGAGACTTCTCAGGAAACAACAACTGAATGAAAAACTGCTGGTGACCTTCTACCATTGCTCGATAGAGAGCATTTTTACCCATTGCATTTGTGTGTGGTTTGCTTGCTGCACAATAGCAGATAGGAAAGCACTCCAGAGATTCATTACTATTGCCCAGAGGATTATTGGCTGCCCTTTCTTCCCTCCCTGAACGAACTGTACAGTTCCCATTGTCTTAGGAAAGCTCAAAATATTCTTAAAGACTCATCTCGGACATTCTTTTTTTGAACTATTACCACCTGGCAGATGATACGGAATAATAAAGACAAATAGGCTGAAAAATATCCAGAGCTGTAACCATATTAAATACCACTGTATACTGCAACACTGAAGTGCAATATTAGGGGCAGTGCAATGGTGAATAGAATGTGAAGGATGTATGTATATAATGTATGTTCTTATTTGTGGTTTTTACTTGTGTGTAGTGTGCACTGTGGACAGCACTTAATTTTGTTGTGAGTTATACAATGACAATAAAGATTATTCTATTCTATTCTATTCTATTCTATTGGATGAAGAAACAGAAAATAAGATTATCACATCTGCAGGGAATGCAGAGATGGGTGCGGGTGGGAAGAGAAACATCATTTTGAGAAAATTATACAACTCAAGAGGATAAAAGATTGAAACAATCAGAAGAAACTAGCAAGTTGAATTTTCACAGCAAGAAATACAAAGTCCTGCATTTGAACATAGAAACTCAAAAGCATATGTACAGATGGCATTCCCATTGTTAAACTAGATTTGAATGGAAGACAAACTTTGATCAAATGTATATTGCTATAAGGTCATATTTCCCTTCTCTAGCCCTGTTTTCTCAATTTAATCCACCCACAGAATTCCACCAGCAGGAATTAACAAAATTAGCTATATCTAATATACATCTATAACAAAATATTTCATGTGACATAATAAAACCATATATCAACTTATTGATGAGAATAATAATTTTAGAAATGTTATGAAGAACAAAATTCTCCTCCATTTTTTGATTCAGAATATAGACCAGTGGATTCTTAGACAGTCATGGCTGGAACTTCAACTAATGATTAAACAGTGTCTGAAGGAACCTGTGAGTATTTCTTGCTTTCTTTTTAATTAATCATGTACCTTTACAAAATAACATAGTGTATGAGCAAACATACCATGAATGTGCTAGTTTACTTATGTTTTACTGTAGGGTTCTGGGTCTGTGGCTGAAATGAACAGCTTGTTGGATAATATTGCAAAGGCGACAATTGAAGTGTTTCAGCAATCTGCTGATCTAAACAATAACTCTAACTCTGGTATAGGCCTCTTCAATCCAAACTCTCTTGGAAATGCTGACACACATATCACAAGGCAGAACTGTAAAAAGACATTCCTAAGGTAATGTAATCAATCAGAATTGGTAATGAGGAAATTATGTACACTTTTTTTAAAAACAGAAACACTTGAGAGGGATCTACTCACAAAGGCTGCTGCTGAATAATTGTGGGTTTTTCCCTCTGAGAAATATAGTGTGCTGAACCAGAAAACTTCATGGAATACTAATTTCTTTTGCATGCAAAAACTATTGCCTCCAAGGAGTACCTGGGCATGCAAGAATTTCTTCATTCTCTTGATCGTTTACTAAATACACACTAAAGAGGATAAACACAGTGTTAGCTGCAGGTTAAATAAATACTTTGATTCAATGAATTAAGAATTTAATAATGTTTCTCTGATTTAAAAATAAAATAGGTTGTTGAAATTAAGAAAATTTTATTTTAAAAGAACCTAAGCTGCAAATTAGACTTGATTCTCAGTGAACTCTATTATTTTTTAACTTTATGGAAAATAATTATTGGTTTAAGTTGAGATATAATTTCTTTATTTTTCATTTCTAACAAGTGCATCCTTAATTGGAAGAAATAGGAAATTTCTACCTAAGCGGACAACATTCGGAGTGTCAGATCAGAAATTCTATATAATTGTCAAACTGAATTTAAACCATTCATTCATTCATTCATTCATTCATTCATTCATTCATTCAATTTCTATAGCCACCCATCTCATCAATGCCTCTGGGCAGCTTACAATTCAAAAATTAGTTGTAAATTTTTACTATTTTCCCCAATATATATCTTGCCTTTCCTTCTGAAGCATAAAGCTGCATACATAGCATATATTAATATTCTGTTCAAAAATCTTATTTGTTTCATGTCTTTAGCTCTTCTGAAAGACAAGGTGTCTGGTTAGTGGCTCCCCTGATTGCAAAGCTGCCAACGTCTGTTCAAGGTCGAGTCTTGAAAGCAGCTGGAGAAGAACTAGAGAAAGGCCAGCACTTGGGATCATGTTCTAAGAAGGAGAGAGACAGGCAAAAACAGAAGAGGTAGAAGATACTGGAAAATTATGGCTGTATTTTAAACCAGTAATCTCTTCTGCAACAACAAAGCATAGAATTTGAGCTTTCTTTAAAGAAACCAGTAGAAACCAGATATTGTTTTGGGGGGAAAACCCAACTGTGTGGCATATTTATTTTTAAGAAAATGAACACAGTAAATTCTTAAATAAAATAAGGTCTACTTGTTACCTAGAAATATTGTTTTTTGAAAACTAAACTAAAATATTTATCCCGAAGATTAAGAAAAGAAGTAACTCATTTTGTTCTTAATTTGCACATGAAGCTAACTACTTTTATCGTAGATCTACTTATCACAAACATGCTTTTCTTTTTAAAGTTAATATTAGAATTGTACCTAGGAGTCTGGTAAATCATGACATACTAAGATGTCTTTTAATGAAAAATATTCCACTAATTCATATTATAGGTGGAAAGTTGGTGGAATTTCCTTTCTTTTCTGTTATCATCCACATCAAATTTCACATTTAAAAATTAAATTTATGCTATTAATTAGTATTATTTTTTCTTGAACTAATTATCAGAAAAAATTAAATAATACTTTGTTACAAAGATGAGAAAGTGCTCCTTGCTAAATGTTTTTGAGTTGCTTGGTAACTAAATAATCTCAGAAATTGCATACTATTTTTTTCACCATAAAAGTAAAATACAAAATAGAAGAACAGAGAAAACAAGAATCTTATACTTCTTTTCCTTATCTCTGATAGGATGAGCTGACTTGTCTTGAAATGCTTATATTTCATGAGAAAAAAGTGTCACACATCTCTCATCTCTCATTATTAGGCAATATTAAATCATTTGCCAAAACAAGTAGTTTTGTGCTTGCTATTCTCAAGAATCCTATATAAATTGATTTATATATCACTGCAGAAAATTTTAGAAATACGATTTCAGTAGTGGAAATATGTACTATAAATTATTATTCTCAAAAACTGCTTATTTCTGAAAAAGTTATCATTGTTTTGAAGACGCTTTTGACTTTTATAACATTTTATTTATCTATCTATCTATCTATCTATCTATCTATCTATCTATCTATCTATCTATCTATCTATTTTTCTATCTATCTATTTATCAATCACATTTACAAACTGCCCATCTGCCTCACAGAATGATTCATAAAGGAAGGTCTCTTTTCCTGGACCATATAATCTATTTGACACTTCATTCTGGTCACGTGCATGAGTAAAGGCAGAAACAATTTTGTGGTTTTAAAATAGTGATGAGAGTTTGTAAAGAAATCTTTTTAGAGAAACACTGAAAAGGGGAAGGAAGGATTTGGGGAGAGGAAGTATCAGAAAGACACATCTAATTCAGTGTCCACTCTGCTTCTTTAAAGTATGTCTCTTCTGAGTCAGCAACCATTCCTGTCTTTGGTACTCACGTGTCTCAAGGGACAGGATGAACAGCGTGAAGGGCTTCTAACATCTCTACAAAATCAAATTAATCAGGTAAAAACAGACAATTCTGTGCTCTGCATCTGTTAAAGACCAATTAAAGTAATGGATTGAGGCAGATGGTAAATCATATCTGAAACTACATTCGTGCCATTTGTGGCAAAATCAGTGAAAGTAATTCATTTATAAATCTTGTTTATCTGATTTCCTTCACGATTTTTAGTATTCTACAAAACATGCTGAATTTCTCAGAAATAGAAATAGTCACCAGACCAATAATAACCCATTACCTGAGTTATAGTAGTAGTTTTGTCCCATTTCAGTACGGCCTCCCAGTTATTTTATAGGAATAATATAAAATTCAAGTGACTTTATATGAACTTAGTGAGATATTTAATTTTTCATTGTAATCTTCTATAACAACTGTACTAATGAAGCTTATATGGCAAGGAGATTTGGTTTTTGAGGCACTAAGACACAATTTCCACTGGAGTCCTGCCCAGCAACTATGCAACTATCTATTAGGGTCTGGCCTACACATTAAAGTAAATGAGGTACTAGAATTAACTACTCCTTTTATTTGGAGCAGGTATTAATTTTGAATATTGTGTAAGAAAAAAACAGTGCATCAAAATTTAACCAATCCCGCTTTCAAAGTATTGTCTATAAATCCTTGACTTAGGTCCTGTCTGAAAAAGGAGACTTATTATCCAGATCCAAAGTTCCTATGGTTGTCTACATTGTCAATGGCCACATTTTGGATGCTTGGCAACATAGCCACATTTACACCCATTTGCAAAATGCCACAATCATATGACCATGTTTTACGCTGGTTTTGTAAAAACCCAGCATTTCCAGTTTTCAGCAAAGATTTGTTTACTAACTGCGGCATTTGCATTTATGATTGTTACATTCATTTAATGACTACCACAAAAAAGTTACATAGTAAAGTTATCAGTATTATGACTCATGACCATAATATGCACACTCCATTATGGTCAAAACGCGAGGACTACCTCTATATGGATAGGGCAAGTGGAAAGATATTATCAGCCAGTTCCCAAAAAAAGCTTGTATTATCTAGAAAGCATATTTACTATTTGTCTTATTAATATGAGAATTTTATGTAGATATTACTAGAAGAGAGCCAGTTTGGTATAATGGTTAAGACCCTGGGTTAGAAATCAGGAGACCATGAGTTCTAGTCCCACCTTAGGCACAAATCAGGAGACCATGAGTTCTAGTCCCACCTTAGAAAGGAAGCAATTCTGAAATCTTCTGAAATCTTGCTGAAAATATTATTATTCTTTTAACTTAATTATTCTTTTAACTGAGAATAGCTTGCTTTGAAGAATTTCCAAATAAACATTACAATAAAATGATACTATAATTTTACGTATGTGTAACATTCTGTTTAAAGGGAAGAGACAGAATAAATAAAGCAAGCAGAAATACAACAGTGCTCACATAAGAAGAGAAGCGTGCAGTAAAATAACAGAATTAGAAGGGACCTTGGAAGTCTTCTAGTCCAACCCACTGCTCAACTGGAAACCCTATAACAGCGATGGCGAACCTTTTAGAGACCGAGTGCCCAAACTGCAACCCAAAACCCACTTATGCATCGTCGGGTGCCGGGTGGGTGTGGCCATTGGCTGGGTATGACCCATTGGCTGGGTGTGGCCCATTGGGTGGGCGTGGCTGCAGTGGTAACGGCAGACTGCATGGGACTAAAAAGTTCAATCAATAATTCCAACTTTGCAAGATTTTTTTTTTCCCGCAAGAAGTTGAAATTGACTGATGAAACCTTTTTTTTTTTTCGCACACGGTGGTGGAGGCCTAAAGCGAAAAGGTTTTATAAAACCCAGCTGAAGGCCTAGGACTGGGGCGACAGCACGCGTGCCCACAGAGAGGGCTCTGAATGCCACCTCTGCCACCCGTGCCATAGGTTCGCCACCACTGCCCTATAACATATTAAAAAGACATAAAATGTTATACAGGACTAGGTAAATATTCATAGAAAGTGCAAATCATATTTTCCTTCCTAGATATTAAGCAACTGGAGGGAAGAACGATACCAAGATGATGTTAAAGCAAGACAAATGATGCATGAAGCATTACAACTCCGTCTTAATTTGGTAAGAAAGGGGAATATTTACTTATTCAAGGGTATATTTAGTTATTATTTAGGATAATTTTGTGCCTTTTCTCATAGAAGCAGAAAGAGGCTTATAAGGTTTCTTAATTTTATTATTGTTCCTTCTCCTCTCTAAATACTGTATTGTCTTACAATTTAGCATTATTTATTTCTTTATTTTTTTCTAATATTAATTTTGCATCACAAATATAAGATTAAACAAGGATGACAGTTAAAAAAACAATATGCTAAATCAAACATCAGAAAATAGCTGGACAGAAATCAAACAATAATGTTTTGCAGAAAAAGTGAAAACAGTTCCTACAGCTTCCTTACCGGGGATGACAAAAAGTCCAAGCAAACAACAACAAAAAAGTCTTTATCATATATTAATTTCTAATTCCTAAGCTGCTAGGAACTCATACACAATGCAATATTACAATCTAAAACATTTCCAGTGCATGTTTACTCGTAAAGAATGGTTAGAAAATAAAGATTGCAAAGTACATTTGATTTACCTTTTTTATCTTTTTCAATGTTTCAATTCTAGGTGGGTGGAATGTTTGATACAGTGCAAAGAAGTCCTCAATGGACCACAGACTGGGCACTTCTACTCCTTCAAATAATAACATCAGGGACAGTTGACATGCAAACCAATAAGTTTGTGTACTCTACTGCATATTATCTATTATGGCTTCTAGTACTTTGACTAACAATATTATTTGTAAAGCTAAAATTGCCATTGCATAAATGGAAATATTTATTTATTTATTAAATTTATATGTCACTCATCTCACTATCAAGTGACTCTGTGCAGCATATAAATTTAATAAATAAATAATAATGGTTCTAATTGTATTTTTCTTCTAAAGTAATTTTAAAAGAAAATTCTTCAAGTTCTAACCATGGCATTTCTTAAATTAAAGGTAACTTTAGTACCTTGAATTCAGTCAAGGATATGAATGAGGGCTGGCTAGTGTTGGTAACTGTTTTTCTCCATTAGAACAAGGTAAATATGGTAATGCTTGTATTGACAACGTAGGCTTGACTGCTCCTCAACATTTACAAATAGAATAAAATAGAGTGTGGAAGACACATATTACTCCACAATCTTATTTGAAATATTGCATAAAGTTTATGGTGTTACATGGTTTTTCTCTTTGAGAATAACAGTTTCAGATGCCTTTCCTTTTTAAAACATAAATTCTGTCCTTATATTCCTGCATGTGACATTGCAAGTCAAGTTTAAAAGTGTGGGACTTATGTTAAGAGCGTGGAGACAAAAACATATGAAGAATAGTTGCAGGAATTGGATATGGCCAGTCTAGAGAAAAGAAGGACTAGTGATGATATGATAGCAGTATTCCAGTATTTGAGGGGCTGCCACAAAGAAGAGGGGGTCAAATTATTCTCCAAAGCACTAGAGGGCAATGGATGGAAACCAATCAAGGAGTGAATCAACCTGGAATTAAGGAGAAACTTCCTAACATAAAGACAATTAACTAGTGGAACAGCTTGCCTTCAGAAGTTGTAGGTGCTTCATCACTGGAGGTTTTTAAGAGAAGATTGGACAATTACCTATCTGAAATGGTATAGGATTGGACTAGAAAACCTCCAAGGTCCCTTTATGATTAAGGTCATCAGTTTGGCATCTCTGTGTCTAGTTGCCAACGGACAACTTGCAACGATTAAAAATTGGAACCTAAGTGTGTAATACCGCATTTGTATGATGATTTCATTGCACATGTGTAATTATTTTGGCATTATTTTGGTTTGCTGTAGGACATGGCTATTTCCTCATCCTTGAATTGATGTAAAAGTGGATAATTTTACACTCTAGAAAGAAATATTAAGCTTCTGCTTTACTATAGATACTAGTACTGCTCTTCAGAATATAATTTGGTTTTTTTCTTTTCCCTTTTAGTGAATTATTTACAACAGTGCTTGACATGTTGAGTGTGCTGATCAATGGTACTTTAGCTTCTGACCTCTCGATGGCATCTCAAATGGGATCTGAAGAGAACAAGAGAGCATACATGAATTTGGTGAAAAAACTCAAAGTGTGTTTTCATCTGACCTTGAATTCTGTAAAATGTTTAGTGGCTAAGGTGCTGGGTTAGAAACCAGGAGACTGTGAGTTCTAGTCCTCACAAGGGCTCAAAAAATGATTGGGTGATGTTGGGTATCATTCCCTACCATCCTTACCTATTCAAAAGTTTTTTGTTGTGGGGAAATTAGGAGTCAGGAACAAGCTATCTGTGCGTTTTGAATTGATCAAAAATAAAGGTGGAATAAAAATAGATAGAAAAGGTAGATAGACAGACAGATTGATAGATAGATATAGATAGAGAGATAGATACCATAGAGAGATACACAGAGAGATCTGAGATTGTAGTGACCCCACACTTTTGAAAGCTGTCACATTGGGGAAGACTGAAATAAAACATTTACCAGGAGAACATTTATACTTTGAGGTAGTTCATTTTCCAAATTTTAAATTGTCTTGCCTCAGCTGCAATCCAGCAGATTGAAGTGTTTTGCAACTGTCAATTGTTGTACACTTGAAATAATAAATTAGCAAACAAACACACAGTAGCAATATACTAATTGAATTAAAAGCAAGTATACAGAGACAATTGTTTTAAATCAAAGTTGTAAAAATAACATTTTCTTTCTTTCAAAAAAACCACTTCCTCGCATCGTTTAGCTGTGTTAAATGTGAAAAAGCTTATTCTATGGACAGAAAAAACATTCAGTTTGAGTTTCTCCAACTTTTGTCAGAAACAATTGCTGGCTTCCCCATTAAAGAGGGGGATCAAGTAGGATGTAATGCAAAAAATTACCCTGGAGATTTTTTTTAGAGTAGAAGATAGTTATATGCCAAATAATCTGACATGACATGTATTTCTGTGAGAAATATCAAGATGCTTATAAAGTAGTATTGGTATATAGAAATAAAATTAAGCATATTTTAGAAACAAAAGGGCCCAATCCTTTGCATTGCTGTTTTAAAAATTCTTGATAGCAAATGATAGGAAAAACATCTGCTTGAAACCTTGGAAAGATTATGTTTGTCAGAATACCTAATCCTGATAATCTGTTCTGGTTTAATGCTAAAATGAGGATCTGATGGTCCATAGCTCTCTGACTAAGATGATAGATAGATGACAGACAGACAGACAGACAGACAGACAGACAGACAGACAGACATTGCAATTAATTTTTATTCTAGGAAGAGAAAAGAAAAGCTTATGAAGCATTTTTCAAAAAATGTGCTGCACATCATGAATAAAATTAGTAAAAGTACAAGGAAATGATTCATCTAAAACTTCTCCAGGTTGCAGCTACGATTTTTTTTAAAAAAACATTTTTTTGCCTTTTTGTCCTCTTATAGAAAGAACTGGGTGATAAAAGTTCAGAAAGTATTGACAAAGTTCGTCAGCTCTTGCCATTGCCCAAGCAGATGTGTGACCTTATTGCCTGTGAGCCTATGGGATCTTTGATTGACACAAAGGGAAACAAAATTGCTGGATTTGACTCCATAGATAAGAAACAGGCAAGGATAAGCATTTTCTTTAAAACCTTCATGATGTATCAACTTTCTCATGAATATAATTTTGTAGAATTCATCTGTTTCATCTCATGTTTATACATGTTTCAATCCAATATATAAAATAGCATTCAATTAATTGTATCTTTATGTGCATTATATTACCGATGTTTTCCTCTGATGGTTATATGCATCACTATTTTAATAATAAGCTCATATTATTGTAGGTATTTGGAAATTAGAAGGAAATTGTGATGGAAGAAAACTCATTTTACATTTTGTTGGAACAGGGGCTCCAAGTCTCAATGAAACAGAAAATATCTCCATGGGATTTACTGGAAGGCAATAAGAATCCAGCTCCATTGTCTTGGGCTTGGTTTGGAACGGTTCGCATTGATAGGAAAGTGATAAAATACGAGGAGCAGCAGCAACTTCTGCTTTACCACACCCATCCTAAACCTAAGCCACGAAGTTACTACCTTGAACCTTTACCTCTTCCTCCTGAGGAGGAGGAGGAGGAGGAGGAGGAGGAGGAGGAAGATCCTACCACTCCTGCATCTCAGGAACCAGAAAGAAAATCAGCAGAGCTTTCAGATCAGGGAAAACCTTCAGCAGATGAAGAAAGAAAGGGGAAAGGCAGGAAAAGGAAGACAAAAGCAGCTTCTAAAACTGATGTAAGTGGTTAAATTGTCTAGTTAAAGTTTAAAAAAATGTAGTGCACGAATTGGCCATCTTGTCAGGTGCTGGTAACCATCAGATAATTTCATGTGAGTTAGATATGAAAGAAGTAACATAAAATGTTGAAACAATTACATTAAATATCATAAGTTCTGTATACATGAACAAATATACAGTATCTCATTATAATAATCAATTTTATGAGAAGGGAAATGTAGGAGATAACCAGGCTGAGCCCGAGGGAGGGGGTCAAACGAGTCATCCCTCTTGAATCCCTTCATGCCCACAAGAGATCGAAGTCCAGCCATCTTGAATTCCATTGACTTTTTTTATTTATCACCAATTTGCTTTGACAGTTAATAGTTCAGATTCTTGTAGATAAATAGACAGACAGACTATTATTGTCTTTTTTTCTATGGGCACATTGGCGCACATTAAAAATGAAATTTAGTTGCTTGCTCTCAAAGTGTACACATACATAAAACACATTTAAACATATACAACATATGTATAAGCCTACACTCTTATGTATAAATAACATATAAGAGTGTAGGTTTTTGTAGAGAGTTTAAGCTTGCAATAAACCTTTATATGCATTTGAACTGATTTCCTGATTTCCCATGCTTGTCAGGAAAGGTGTTTTGGAGATTTGGAAGGGAGATGTGTGGCTTCCTGCACTCTTAAAAATGGGCTGATAAGATTTTCATTCTGACTCTTTTGAGTAATGTTATTGCATCCCTAGATAACATCTTGCAGCCCTTCAAAAGGATTAGGCGACAAAATTGTACTACTCAGTCCCTCCAATATGTTCCATTCTAGGGGCATTATAGAAGCTATATTGCCAACCTTTACTTTACAGAATGGCAGAATTTAAAATTCCCTTCTCCATCTATGAAGATATTTATTGTTTGTTAAAAAATGTACTATACCTTCTCCATAGAAAACAAAATATCGTCTGTTATGCTCCAGAATTGTCTGTCATCCAGATATTGGCCTGCTTAATTTCATCCAGTTGGCTTTGTTGCATATCTTTAAATAATATTATGCAATGAAGCACATAGTTTATTTTTGGATAATAGCTTTCTTTTTTTGACTCAAATTTGGATAGGGGAAGCATGTGATAGCTTGTCAGTACTGGTGAGTGTAGCATTCATTATAAATGGCTTGTGGAACCATCATAAGCTTTCATAAGAGCCATTCCTTTCATGACTATTGCTTAATCTCTTGGCACTCACAAGTATAGAACTTAGTCATCTCTGCTGATTTAGCAGAACAGTTTGCAAGTCTTTCTAAGACTTTTGCAGAACTTATTGCTTCCTTCTTCAAACTTGAGATAGCACTGCTTTTTGGGATGGGGGTGGGGATAAAACCATTGGATAGATCACCAGGTTGAATTCTATAGATGGCTGTCATAATACTTGAAATATTTTTTTCAAATTCTCACATAAAACAAGGCAAAGTTATAGGACATGTTCCAGGTTGAATCCCATCCTATCAATGAAATTGAAAGGAGATGAGAAAATATCTAGAAATTAACTGAAAATTAATTCAGTTTTCTTTTCTAAGAAATCCTACCAGTCCTCTTGAACCATCTTCATGTAAAATCTATTCAGAAGTGCTTCAGTAAAGATACACTTGCTGCCTAATGCTTAATGAAGGGTTAAAATAAGAGATGGCTATTTTAGGACTGTATTTTCAATACACCTTACAATAGATTCGTTGTCCAGTGGTTCTCAAACATTTTGGTCTCAGGACATTCTTAAAAATAATCGAGTTCCTCAAGAAGCTTTGGTTTATTGTATATGGATCAAATCTATCAATATTTTAAAATATTTATTTATTTAATTTTTCTTGGCCACACTGTCTTTACACCACTTGATTTTAGATTGTATTTCAAGATATTAAGTCCCTAAGTGAAACTATCAATAAAGGGCAATTTTCTCAATATTATGAAAGTACAATTTCACACTTTGAAATACATTTAAAGAAAATATATTTTTTCAGGGAAGCCCAACAAACCCGAACAGATACATACTCATTGCATACATCTTAGACCATGCTCAAGAGTCCTTGACAATGCACAGGAATACTGTGGTATTAAAACAAATATGGAAAGCATTTCCTGAAATTATTAAAATTTAGAAAGCTTCATTTTTAAAAATTTGAATTTATTGACACTTTACCCAATTCCTTCTGTAATTTCCTTCCCAGGATAGGTTTCTAATTGTCTAAATAATGATGCTTTGATATAATTATAGGTACAGTTAGTAGATTATGATATGCAGAAAAAAGTAGAAAACTAAGCATTATGAGAGATAAAGCCTAATTGTAATAGTCATAAATTGCCTAATAATTCGTTGGGAAAAATGGCTTATTTATTTATAAATTGGTATTTGAATGTCAATAATGTTTAATGTTTCCTATTTTGCTCAAGGAATATCCTCAGAACAATGGATGTAGAATGGCTTCTAATTTTTCAGCACTTTGTCCTCAAATGTTGCATCATCCTCAGTCTGCTTTGTGGGGCTACAATGTTATAGGACAGCCCCAACAGTCAGGTTACTTTGTCCAGAACCAGCCTCTTCCACCAGGTATAGCAGGGAGATCTGTCACAAAAAATAAATCTTTTTAATTATTATTTTGTTTGGAAAGTACTCACACTCGGTGCATATGCTTAAATTAAATGGAACTTTATCTGTAGATGTATCGTTCCAATGAAATGGTTGAAAAGTGCTTAAATATAGCTTGTTTTTGCTCTCTGTAATAAATAGGAAGACTTATTAGGAAGAAGATTTAGATAATATGGTAGGATGATTTTCAGTTGACATTTGATTTCTATAATATGTTTCCCAAACCCATAGCTTATATGGCAATTTCCCCCACATATTCTAGAGGATGTAAAACAGTAAAACTTTAGATTCTGAAGGTTAACAATATATACTCTAGCATACTATATGCCTACTATACCACTATAGTATTTAATGTTAGATTTTAGATACTTCCAACAATATTGTTCTTCTATTATCTTTTACTTTACTTTTAAAATATATGTTGTATCTCCAGAAAACCGTTGCTGGTTCACAGTTAAAAAATGTAATGGCTATATAAATAATCTGATTTAGGTGGAGTAGTCAGCTTGATTTCCAACCAATAGCATCATCTGGAGCAGGCTTTGTGATTCTATAATTATTTTGTTAATCAATGTCTTTGAAGGTGGTTCCAGATTGGATCCCACAGGGTCCTTTGTGCCAAGCAACACAAAACAAGTGCTCTCTAACATGCTGCAGAGACGTTCCAGCAATATGATGCATCCCCCAACAATTCACACTATTACTTCTCATCATCAGCAGCAACAATTGCTTCAACAACAGCGGATTCTAAGGCACCAGAGCCAGGCAAGGCCTTTCAAACTGTGTTGTTTTATATTTAGAAGTAGGATGGATGGGCCATGATTTATTTCAGCTTTTCTTCATTTAGGACAGTGGTTCTCAACCTTTCTAATGCCGCGACCCCATAATATAGTTCCCCATGTTGTGGTGACCCCCAACCACTTATACATCACTGGGTGCCAGGGGCGTGGCCAAAGAAAAGGGAAAAATGGTGGACAGCCTTGTTTGGCGACCCCCGTGAAATGGTCGTTCGACCCCAAATGGGGTCCCGACCCACAGGTTGAGAACCACTGATTTAAGACAACAAAGTAAAGAAAATAATGATGGGGTTCAAAGTAAGCTTAGTGTATACTGTATATGCAGGACAAGTACTGGTTCATTATATTGTGCTACCTGAGGTAAGAGACAAAATAGTATCTCTCATTCCACATCCAAAAATTCACTGCACTGGAGTACTGGAAGGTAATCCAGTTTCAAGAATACCAAATAGATTATGTACACACATGCTTAATATCCCAACATTCACTGCTATAGTCTGCCTATTGCTGTCTGCCATTTGTCTCAATTAAAGGTAGCATTGGTCTGGGTAGGGAAAACTGGAGAGCAGTTAAGGAGACAGAATTTAGAGATATTGTATCACTAGTCTACCCATAAAAACAATCTCACTTAAAAAAGATATTCTAGTTGCACCAGCTTACTCTTGCATTACATGTGTTTTAAGATGCCTACTGTACCTGCAATAAACTGTATGTCAAACTATCAGCCACCTGGACCAAGACCCATGATGGCATAGTGGTTAGAATGCAGTAAACAGCATAGAGGAGGCTGTAAAGCATTATAAAGCAGTATATATGAAGTGATATTGCTATTGAACCTATTGCTGTTATCACTTGTTTTTATCTTGCCTTTATTATTTTTAGAAATAACTCAAGGCAACAAACATACCTAATACTCTTTTCTTCTCCTGTTTTCTCAACAACAGCAATCTGTGGGGTGTGTTGAGCTAAGAGAGAATGACTGACCCAAAGTAACCCAGTTAACTTCGATGTCTAGAACTCACCATCTCCCGATTTCTAGTCTGGTGCCTTAACTACTAGATCAAACTGACTTAAAATGGGCATGTTTAGATTGATAAACTTTTAATATATAACAAGCAGCATTTATTTCTATTGGTTAACTGTTTTATAGGGTCCAACAATTGAACAGGCTGCTATTTTTGCTCAACAAGTCCGCCCCTCTTCTTCTCAGCTAACACAATATCCAGGGATACAGCAATCACAGGTAGAGCATCCCTGTTAAAAATTGGTTCAGTGGGGTTCAAAGAAATATAATGGTGGATATGGTCATCTTGATTTTACAATGTTTGAAAAATATGAGAGTCCTTAAAGTGGCTAGCCTCTTTCATGACTCCCTCTTTGTTTGAAATTAACCTAAATACAAATGAACAGCCTTGCCTAGTTGTTGTAGACAAGCAATAACCATAATAGAAATTATTTGTGGGAACTATTGTTTTTATACCAAAGCTATAAGTGACACATTTACAAAGCTGAAAAAAATATTACTATAACCCTAGATAATCTATTCATTTTCACCTAAATTGCGCTAGAAGTACTTACTTCTCTACCTTTAATTTCTTCCACATCGTTCAGACTTTCTACTAAAGAAACATGACATGAGAGCTATATGAATTCCTAGAACACTCAATTGAGCTAGGAAAGAAAATGAGATGCAAGGTTTCTATTTCAAGTTACAGTATTTTTAAAACCAGTAAAATGGATAGATTTTTAGAAAATTTAAAAGTCAAAATCATGTGTTTTGAATTGTTTTCCATACAGACAATTCCCCATGGCTATACAATGTATAGTACTCAGATGTCATTGCCACCTCAACAGACCGGGGGTTTAGTTCTTTCACCTACCTACAATCCTAGATCATTACAAGCAACTCATTCCAGTCCAGTTTTAATGGAAAGGTTAAGGCAGATGCAACAGCAACCAAGCGGGTACATTCATCAACAAGCAGCAGCCTACCTTCAGCCTTTAGTAGGCAATCAGCGGTAAGAGGCTAAATACATCTATAATTCCAGAACTTTGTTAACCCAATGTTTTGTATTTTTCTGAAAAATAAAAATAAAAAACAATGTATTTCTCATAAATTCTGACTCAAGAATATCACTGAATGCAAAGGAAGGTGGTATAAAGCATCATCGACCAATCTAATTCCTTCCAAATCACTTGGGCTTCCAACTTAGCTTGAAGAACAAAACAAATTAGAGTTGAAACTTTAAGCATCTGAAGGGGATCAGATTGGGGAAAGCTGATATGAGCAATTAGTTAGCTCTGGACAGGCAAGTTATTTCTATACTATTTCCCAAGCCCCACTTTGCTTTGAATTACATGTAGCTGCAACCAAGATCTCAGTCTTTTTATTACTCAGACTAGATGGATTTAAGCCAATACTAAATATATTTGGAAATCCCCTTGTCTCATAAAATATTACCAGTGTAGCCTCACATGTGTATACAGTATATATGATATAATTTAATAAACATATCATTGTGTATTTTCTGTTTATTTAATTTATGTGTTTTAGAGGTACTAAATGGACCTGTGGAAATTATAAACCAAGTGCTTCTCAAATTTGCTAATCAAATGACCCTATTAACTTATTTAGTCATTCAAAAGAAGTATAATATTTCTGTCTAATTCCACAGAGCATCTTTCTAAAGCTGTAATACCTACTTTTTAAAATCTGTTTTTCTATTTCTCTGTTTTTAAAAAATCATACTTTTTTTTGAAAGCAACCTTGAGGCAGTAAAACAGATGTTTCATTTCTGTGTTTATGAAAATAGTCTTTCTTGTTCTAGCACCATTTGAACCCAGATTTAATCATGGATTCAAAAGCAAAATCTCTTCAAACTCTTCTCTATGGTAAATCTTTCTGTGACATGCACTTCAAGTAAAGCACATGACTAACCTTAAATTGATAGAATAGAGACATCTAGATTCTATTCTTCCCCTACCAAAGGAATTGACAGGCAAGATAAGTTCAGTTGCTCCACTGGTGAATGGCAAATGTTGGGCCTGTTTCTGCACAAATTTCATCATTCAAGGGAATCATGAAAAGCATGTTGCAATCTTAATGCTTAATAGTGAATAGGAAAAAATGGTTTATTTTACAAAAGAAAGCACATGTCTTTTCAGCTGCAAATTAAATTTGCATCTAAATTATTATTGCTCATTTTTTGTGTCTAGAAGATCATTTTTTTAATCTTCTGCTGAATGGAATACTAAGTTCTTGTGCCATTGCTGAGGCTTTCACTTGGAATATTGTTTAAAGCACAGTCTCCAGAATTTCCTGTTATTCACATTAAATGTTTTTGCAAGCTGTAAAATGAAAATTGCACATCTTTGACTTAGAGTTCAATTTAGAGAGAAGCAACCTAGAACTAAGAAGAAACTTCCTGACAGTTAGAACAATTAACTTGTGGAACAACCTGCCTCCAGAAGCAGTGAATGCGCCAACACTGGAAGTTTTTAAGAAGAGACTGGACAGCCATTTGTCCAAAATGATATAGGGTTTCCTGCCTGAGCAGGGGGTTGGACTAGATGACCTCCAAGGTCCCTTCCAACTTTATCATTATTATTATTATTATTACTAATTAATACTTGCACATCCTTATTTTATATATAAGCAATAAATATAAATTATAATTGGCTGTACTTGAAAAAATATCTCCATTTTCCAATTATTTTCTATACAAGTCATAAATGTTATTTTCACATTATTATTTTTTTATTGAAAAGTTTTATACAAATTTATTATTACAATACAATAACCCTCCCTCCCTCTCCCCCTACCCCAACCCTCCCCCCTCACTTCCCAGAGCTGATTATAGGGTTAAAAAAATAAGCAAACAAATTCTAACTAAGCTTAACCAACTATACCAATAACCAAATCCCTAAAATACTTTAACTCAAATACAAACAACTCCCAGTTTAAACTATAAGTTAATCAAAAACTAAATGATACTTTTCTAATCCCATATTTATTCTGTACAAAATTTATCCATCTTCTCCACACCTAGTATATCTTTCTTGTGAATGATCTTTCAAATAGGCAGAAATTTTAGCCATTTCTGCTAAATTAGAAACTTTAAATGACCATTCTTCTATGGTAGGCAAATTAACAAATTAATTTTAACAAGGTAATGTATCTTGCTTCTCTGGCAGTAGCTGAACTCTCTATTGCATCTGCAAAAATATACATGTGAAGCTTTCAAATTTTATTCACATAATTTTGGAATTGATTCAAATCTCTTGAGACCTCAATATAACCTAAGACTAATATTTTTAGCTTAATATATCATTCAGTTCTCAGCTATCTATATTTTTAGACAAACTGATTTATATTTGCATCTTTAGAAGAGAATATTTGTAGATCAGGTTGAACTGTGGGGTCCTTGATGTTCTCTGAGCTTGGTGGTTTTCTAGCAGACATGATATTATCTAGTTTGCTAATGCAACCATTCCAAGAAAATCAAGTTCAGAGAGCATCAGGACCCCACATTTCCATCTTTAATATGAATATCAGAGTAAAGAATTGTTGAATGAAAAAAATGCATGTAAAACACATATAGTGTAAAAAAAACTGCAGAGACCCTGTGCACATACTTTAAAACAAATTTGCAGACCAATGTGGAAAAGACTTCTGCAGTGGAATAATTTTCTATATTATCATGTGGTCTACCTTATATTGCTTTTGCAGAGATCTTTTGCTATGAATAGGAATTGCATACAATATAGCTCTATTTTAAGCCAGACCTTTTGTAGAATATTGTAGAGAGATGCAAATTGAGGTATTTCTTTGTTGGAAGCAAAACTGTCCAAAAGATAATTTCCCTTTTAGTTAATCTTGAAGATAGCACTACATGTAGAAATGTAATACTGATATGTATATATTATTATTTGTTGTATTTATATCCTGTCTTTTCTTAGAAAGCTAGTACCGTATATATGAAAGTCAATCCTTTCTCTATACTGTTTAGTAAGGCTGAGAAAGTTTCATTCCCCCCAAATCATCTATCTAAACCTAGTGAAGCCTCATCTAGTTTGCCATTTTAATCTAATCTGCAACATAGCTGCTATTCTATGTAGAGTTCACAACCTTCCAGTTTCATATGTCTTTTCTGATCAATGTGTATTGATATCAGTATAAGTACTTACTGATCAGAAAAGAAGAAAACATGCTAATTTCTTGTTTCTCAAGGTGGTCTTTATTTCATAATGATCATATTACAATCCTTAAAGTAGAGGGATATTTAAGTTGGAACTATCTTTTGCTAATATATGGTTTATTATAACTATAGATTATTATTTTGTTTTATAATGAATTTATAATTCGCTGGATTCATGCAACATGACAATGTATAAATCATGGTTTATGAATTATAATGTAGTTTGCATAACATACTAAGCTAAAACCAAAGAAATTGAATTCTGGTTTAGCATAGCATGCCAACTCTCTTTCAAAGAGATACTGGTATAATTAATATTATCTGGATTTGGTTTGATATATTTTTTGTTTCAAATATTTGTTTCAGAAGAGTTCCATCATAATTCTATTGTGGGATGAAAATGATTTAAATAATATGCATATGTTTAATTTATCAATCTTTTATTAATATCCATGTATTGCTGTTTGTTAATGATATTCTCCTGAAATTATTTCATGAACTTCTAGAACATTGAACTTATTTTTTTTACAATATTTATATAATCAGAAAGACTCTGAGCAGTGCATAAGGAAAGCAATATAATTAGCAACCATGTTGACACTACAATTACAATCAGTCAACAGTTGCACGTTCAGATGTATCTTCAGTATCTTTAAACTTCCAAATATTTTCAATCACCCTAGAGCCAAGAGTAAAATGTATTATTTTTGAAATAAAATGGTTTATTTCACTAATTTTATTTTTTAATTTTATTTTTCATACCTGTAAACTTCATTTTTTTTTAAAAAAAAAAATTCTGCCTCTCAGTTCCGTTCACGAGTCTTTGCAGCAGAATCATTTGGTTGGAGGGCCTCTGGATGCAGTATCAGCCACACCTTCCCAGGCAAATCTTTATTCTGTCCAGGAACAGATGAGGCAGAGGCAACAGCAGATTCGGCAACAAAGATTCCTTCAGGTTTGGTGTCTTTAATTTTGTTGGTTAGAAATGATGATTTTTATTATGATGATCACAGTGTTCAGAGGACAATATTTTGAACTGGCAATGCTCTGTTATGTCAATATATGAGGGCAATTTGGAAATAAACTTCCATTTGTTTATCAATGACAGAATTCGCAGATACAGAACTTTTGTTACACACATTAGAATACTACAACATTACATTACTTTTTGACATAATCGTCATTCAAATATGTCATAATGTCTTACAAGTTTTGAAATGCCTTAGTAGTAGTCGCTCGGTGCTAAATCTGGGCTATAGGGGGGTGATCAAAAACATCCCAATGGAAATGCTTCAAAAGTTCTTGGGTGCATCTAGCGGTGTGTGGGCAAGCATTATCATGAGCCAATACAACTCAGACAAGCTATCCATAACAAGAGTTGGGGCATGCTGACTTCCGGTGTGGTGCCTGCACACCACTAGACAAACCCAAGAACTTTTGAAGGCACTCTGAAATGCTTATTCGGAATGGTAATATCCCTCCTCTTACTAAGAAAACTTTCTATCCTCTATTACTTATCTTCACAATTCTTCATAAAAGCAAATTGTAGAAGCCTAAGTTCACAGCAAATGGTTAAATCCCTTACTACGTTTAGCCTTTCAGTAGTGCAGTTTGTGAAAATTGTAGAAACTACAATAAATTACATATAGCCCTTTTATGGATCCAGTTTCTCAATCAGATCTACCTTGTAGGCTTGAGCACACTAATAACCCATTCCCAGGACAGTCTGTGCTGTCAGACCTCAAAATGAACATCTTGGAAAAATGAGATTTTTAACATAACTACAAAGGAGGACACTGCTAAATACACATTTATCCAAAGTTTTCAGACAATCTCTAAAGATCCTAACAAATATAATGTGTTTTAATACATTGCAATTATTAATTGATAAGGTTTTGGTAATCTGACATATGTACATGTAACCTGCATCTGCATAACCAATCTATCTTCTCCTCCCCCACCTCAGTTTAAATCCTTTATCAGTCTAGCCATCTGATGGCAGTCTACAACTCATAAAACTGTATTCCTTTTAATAAAATCTATTAATTGGAGACTGTGCTACCCAACTCCTGACTTCTTGCTAGCATAAACTACCATATCTTTTCTTCTGCAATGTATGCAAAGCTCATGAACTGCTTCATTGAACTATATAATTTTTCCTATATGCAATAGAAAGTTTGAAAAATTTCCCTTCCCCTATCTCTAGAAGAATCTTTATTAGTACTACTAGTTTAACAATCTAAGGTTGTGGACATTCATAGATGATTTAATTAGAACAATTAGACAAAGAAGAATTATATCTGATCATTTGGAGAAAAGTTTATTAAGCACAACCAAGGTGGCAGCTAGAAGGAATTCTAAAATACAAAATTACACTTTGTGAATACACTCATAAAAAGCAACATTTCCTAGAGCAGAATATTACTCAGTATATACTCTCAAACTGGGCGTTAATCTGGACATGTTGGCTATCAATCTAATATGAAAAGCCTTCTGTAAATGATCAGTCCAACTGTCTAGCAACTCTGAACTGCCCTTCTATTAGGCAATGAGGAAGAGGAAAGAATAAAAAGGTGGCGGCAAGGAAGAGAACAGTTATCAAAAAGAAAAAAAATCTGACATTCAAATGCCAGCTTTAGCTTCTACTACTTTATTTACTCATCAACTACATCATTGCTCCCCAACCTTTTCAGCTTTGTGGACCTGCGGAGGGGGGAGAGGGGATAGTTCTGCATGCATGGCATGTACACATATGCGTGTGCACAGTTCCATTTGCATGAGTGATAGGCACGCATGTTCGCTACTCGCATAAATGGAGCATGCGCGCACGCGCTTGCCCACTGCTCGCATGAGTGGGAATGCGTGTGCCTGTGCTCACTCACCACTTCTGCAGCCCAGTTCCGAAAGGCTCAAGGCCACGGCCCGGAGGTTGTGGACCCCTGAATTACATCATTTCTCATCCTCTGAAAGGTTGACGTTGTTATTGCCTTTCTATTGCAATAGGAATTTTAAAAGCATCCCAAGACAATTTCTATATTGTTACCAGAAAAATGGACATGTTGACAAATTCAGTAGGTTAAATCTATACATTCAGTAGGTTAAGACTATACATTTTTTTTAAAAAAAGATAAACAGTATTGCAATCATTTTCCTTTTTTTCCTTTCAGCTTCAACAGCAACAGAATCAGCAACAAATCATTAGCCTTCAAGCAATGCAGCCTCAACAACAATCTTTTGTAAGAAGAATATTCATAATAAACCATATTTGGGGGTTCTTTCACAATATTGAGAAGTCATAGGGTTTAAAATAGCATGTCCTAATACGGCTATTCATGTCCATGTTCTTGGAGAAAGGTGGAATTGATATGAGAAGACACTCGCAATAATAAGTGTGAGTGGCTTTGAATTTCTATTTCTCAGTCTCTTGTGTAAAAAATAGGCTACACTACAGTATGCGCTCTGTAAATTTTCTAATAGGGTAATTATGATTTGCAATATTACCCAGATCCTGCTTCTTAATTTAAGAAGTAGATATTCTTCCTCTAACCTGAAACATTATGATTGTAACTGTGCATATATTTTTAATGCTTGCACAAATACTCCATCTAGTGGATTAGGTATCAATTAATTTCACTACTAGTCTGGTTAAATCAAATTTATAGCTGCTAAAATGTGTTTGATTTGTCTCCTGATGAACTGTGTTATAATACTGCTGCTCTCTGCCCTCTGCTTGATAATTCTCTACTTCCAGTGAAAAATACTTATTTGTACTACTTGTTTTAGAGAGTTAGATTAATTTATTTAAATGTTCTCAGGGGATATGCAGGAACCTTGTTAGGAGAGGTCTATTTGCCTTTCACTTTGCAGATGTTCCGTACGCTGTTATTATTGAGAGTAAACCATCATCTTTCCTATAATGTTAGCACTTTATAGAGTAAACAGATAGCACAATGGTAAGATGCTTATGTTTGATCACCTGGCTATTCCAAGAAGAACTAAAGTTATAGAAAGAAATAAAAGCTAGCAATTCATGCTCCAAATACTTAGGGAACATTTTTAAAGATCCATTCTCTTTAGCCAAAGAGTATGTAGCAACATCCAACCTCTTCTATCCATTTACTGAGAATGTCTTTGTTTCATTTTCCTTTTAATTTCTCACAGAGATCTAAACTAATGAATATATATGCTGTGTTAACAAATTTTATTTATTTTGATTGAGAGGATCAGTTGAGAAGCATTTCATGTATGCTTCTGTATAAGAAAAGGGTAATTTAGCTGTAAAAATCACGATTTTCTTCTTATTTTGCCAAAATACACATCTGGGAACAGTTGCTCAATTTCTAAAGGAAGAGAAAAATATTCACATTAATATATTGCCTTCACATTTCATCAATGGCCAGAAATTTCATTTCTGAACTTTCCAAAGGAAATAACCTTTAGAACTCTAATTTTAGTCTATTGGAATGAAGTCAGAAGATAGTTGCATGATGGAAACTTGAATATTTAAATGATAGCCCCAATATTGTCAGAAAAGGTGGCAGATCAGAGCCTCTCTTTTCTGTGCAAAGCTGATAATGAGGTTGTGCGAAGATTGCTAGAACAATACTTACTTTCAAACATCACTCTAACCATCTATTAAAACTTGGCTCCTCTCCAGCCACAGTCCATATTATGGGCAATGATTGATGAATGTTTTTTTTTTCTCACCAGCAGTTAAATGTGCTATGCAGAAAACAGGAGAGAATCACTTCTGGCCTTCTTACTGAGGCATAGTAGAGACCACCTATGTAGACAGAGGCAACCATGCCAGTATACCTCATGGATCAGTAAAGCACATTAAATGGGCAATCTGAATGCATTCCTATCAATTGAAACAAAAATTGCAGAAACTATTGATCAATGGTGCTCTTCCAAATCCTAATCTCGCCACCCAAATTGTGAATGTTCACATGTTGCACCTTCTGAATATATTGAATGTTTAAGATTATTTGTGCAGTTTCCTTAGAATTCTAGATGCTTCTGAGTTTCACACTGAGTTATGAGATACCACATGTTCTTTCACACAAAACATTCATCATTCACATCCTAGAAATAATGGATATCAACAGTCTCAATATTTATTTCTGCCAGGCTCATTTAAATGCCAGACAGTCCTAGTCAAATTCAAATTTCCATAACTAGCAACTTTAGGTAACTTTAAAGTACATAATTCAAATATGAAACAGAGACTTTTCAAGAATTCTGGTTTTTTTTTTCCATTTTATTTTCTGTACTAGGCGTAAAAGAGAGCTGTTAGGGATCATTGGTGCCTTTCTGGCCATTTGAATTGCAGTCTTGCTCTGTGGGCAAGTTATTTTTCCAACTCCATAACATAATTGCATTTGATTTAAATTAGAAAACTATACAATATTTTCATTTATCTTGATTCTTCTATTATTTAAATACTTTCTTTTGATTATTCTATAAATTCATTTCTAGATTTTTATAGCTAAGCATGATCACTAGAAGTGTGTGTGCGTATGTACATAAAATCAACTTTATGTTATATAAGTTTTAGTTTAACCCTTTTTCATAGTTTTTAAAAAAACGACTAATTTAAATATTGGGTGTTAATATTTAAGAAAATATTAAAATATAGCTGAATAGCTTGGGTTATTAAAATGCTTTCACCATTTAATAGGGGATCAATCACAAAGATAAAAAAGGAGGGAAAAAATAAAATTGCAAATTTTTCTGACTTACTGTATACGCACAAAAATTTACCTCAAAATGTTTAACATTTTTTTTCCTATCACAGTCTTCTACACTAAGAGTACATTTTGGTTAATCTATTCTAAACTCCTCTTAGGTGATATGATTTATCAGATAGCCTGGATAGCATTTTAGCATTTCTTCCAGGATTTTATGAGTTTAATTTTAGTCTTTAAAATGCATTTGGCTTTAGTGAATGCGGACAAGTCCAAAATGAGTTGGCTTGAGTGTTTTAGGATTTCCTGTTTATTTTCAGACTTGAGTATAAGGGCAGTTCTGACTTATAGTTAACATCTATCTATATCAGAATCATAATATGTTGGCCTGATTCATACAGTCATTAAGTCAATAATACGAATGTTTTACCATTTAGCACAGGGTTGATATTCTACAGGATACATGCACTTCACCAAATTGTGAAATGGCAATACATTTACTGCATGCATTAGCAGCATTGAAAATATATGAATTGGTGTCAATATTGGTATATGTTTTGGATGATTGTTAATTTATGGTACTTTTTATAAACAGTTAAAAATTATTAAGGTGAATATCGATTATTTGTGAGAATTGTAGCATAAAGAATAACTATTCTAACAAATTAATGGTTAAGAAATTCAAAGAATATGAAGTGTGCTTCTTCATATCTTGAGATGATTTTAATATATGAAAAAATACTACTTTATTGTAGATAATATTTGCTACCTGTCCATCTCATTATGTTGGAAAAATAAGATACAGGTGGTCCTTGACTTATGATCACAATTGGATCCAGAATTGTTAGTGATGAAATTGTAAGGTGAGATATCATGTGACTGCATTAACAACCACAGTTCTGGTTGCCACTGTTACCTAAGAACTGTGGGTTGTTAACGAGTACAGCCTCAATCCTAGCTATTCCGACCTTTCTCCCTCTCAGTCCCAAGCCTCAATAAAGTAAGGGGCTGCTTCCAACGCGTCCCACCTTCCTACCTCCCCTCCAGTTCTGTTCTTTGGCCACTTTGCAGCCTGCCTCGCACCTTTTTGCAACCACTCCAATTCATTCCAAGCCACAGTTTCAATGCAAAGAAGAGCAACTAAGATGATTAAAGGCCTGGAGATAAAAACATACGAAGAACAGTTGCAAGAATTGGGTATGGCCAGTCTAGAGAAAAGAAGGACTAGGGGAGACATGATAGCAGGGTTCCAGTATCTGAGGGGCTGCCACAAAGAAGAGGGGGTCAACTTATTTCCAAAGCAGCAGAAGGCAAGACAGGAAACAATGGAAACTAATCAAGAAAAAAAGCAACCTGGAATTAAGGAGAAACTTTTTAACAGTGAGGACAATTAATCAATGGAATAGCTTGCCTTCAGACGTTGTGGGTGCTTCATCACTGGAGATTTTTAAGAAGAGATTGGACAGCCACTTATCTCAAATTGTATATGGTCTCCTGCTTGAGCAAGGGGTTGGACTAGAAGACCTCCAAGGTTCCTTTCAGCTCTATTCTGATTGATTGATTGATCCTGCTGCTCTGCATTCTACTTGCCCAGCTGACTTTGCCATCTTCTTGCTCCTGCAGTTAATGAGGCATGTCTGATTTGGAGCAATAATTAATTATTTATTTTTTTACACTTTATTATTTATTTACTATATGCTGCCCATCTCGCACAAAGGTAACATACTGTATTTAACAAACTATATTAAATTTGTTAATATAGTATTACAAACATCATTATTGCTTAAAGATGTGAAGGCACATTTAATTATTTATTATTAAGTTTATCTTATACTGCAATAATATATTAATTATTAGTAGATTTATTGAGCATAGAGTTCAACATCTTTGATGCTGGAAAAGCAGTGTTATAATCTTGCACCTCTACATGTTTTTTTTTTTTTCCATTCATGAACTAGTTTGCTATCAGTAGAGTTGAAAGAATGGATCAATTGTATTTCATATGGTCACAATTTAATGATGCACTTAAGAACTGGCAGAATGTCTTCCTTTTATACTTTTACTTTTTCATTTTTGCTTGTTTCTTTGTTTTTGAATTTTATGTTTTCTTACAATAAAGAGATAAAAAATAAAATTAATGGGAGCAGGACGCTTCTTTGAAAAAAAAAATTGGAAAGAAACCATTCTCTAAAATTGTCAAGGTGTTAAATGTTGAATAATTTTGTTGAAATTTATTACAATGGAATATGTGTTTAACTGAACCATATTTTTACAAATAATGTTAATACAGTATTCAGCCATAATAGCACCTATACTGAAAGTCCCATTGGCTCTTCTCTTTTCTATACATTCTTTCGTCTCTTAGAAAAATCAGTGAGAGCAAAAATCTGTACCCTACATGATATGATATATGCCACTCATTCTTTCCTTTGACTAATTTTTCCTTCTAAGACAGGGGTGTCAAACTGCCAGCCCGTAGGCCAGATCGTCATGCCGAAACTGCGCCCACCCCAGCTCCAGCAACGGGGGAAAAGTCGCGATACGTCACAACATGTCACATGATGTGGCGACTTTGACACCCCTGTTCTAAGACATAGCCAAACAACAGCAACAATCATAGTTGTTCATCCCACTTTTTTCTCATACTTCTTTACTTTTTCCCTAATAAGAAGTAACATGAATAATGAAAGACCAAAAAGCTGAAGAACATTCTTGTTTTCATTTTTACTTTATTTTGCAAGTTCGCTTTTGAAACAAATTGTTCTTTAACTCAGAAAAGTTAAACTTTTAAACTGTTATGTAAAAGGCTACCTGTTTTGTTTTTGCCTACAGACTTACTTGTACAACCACTCATTTAGCAATCGTTCAAAGTTACAATGGACCTACTTTGGGGCTAGTTATATGAACATTTGAAGTTCTGATGGATATTGACCCCCTCCTTGTCACATGACTGAACTTTGGGCATTTGGCAACTTACAACGTATAGCCATTTGCAGCCTGTCATGGCCAAGTGACCATATTTTATGAAGGTTGTGCCAGAACTTAGCACTTATCTTCAGTTTTATTTATTTGTTTATTTATACCCTGGCTTTATATATTATATTATAATGGTTTTAATAAAAACCATTGGTTTATTTAACAACCGCTATATTTTCTTTATGACCAATGCAAAAAAGGTTATAGAATTGTATTGTTCAATACGTTTTATGACTGTCACATCTTATAACTGTGATGACAATTCCATTATGGTCATAAATCAGGGATTACCTGTATTTGTGGCACACAATACTTGTCCTCTACTGCTACATCCCCTGTCTTTACTTGCAACATTCTGTAGCTGAGATATTGAGAAGTTGTGTTATTTATTTTATTACCTGTTTGAAGATAATTGTGATGGAGAATGAGAATGAGCAAAACAGGCAATTTTGACTCTGTTTAATTGGTCATCTGATTAAGAAAGTAAATTATAATATCTACTAAAATAATTTTGGTTATTCTGAAAACATTAGATAATTCTAAATCTAAAAATTCAAGTGTCCAAAACCTAAAGCTTTTGAAGGACATCCTTAAAGAAGATGAATAATACAATTTGCCATAGAAAAAGTCTATAGGAAATAAGTACTTTCTCAATACTTTCACAACTAACATTTTCTGAGATTAGGAAGACAGTATACACTGTCTCTATGTGTAATTTGCTATTTTTTTTTCCTAATGTTGAATATTGCAGTTCCCAAGACAAGGTTTGCAGCAGACACAGCAGCAACAACAGACAGCTGCTCTTGTCAGACAACTCCAAAAACAGCTGTCAAGTAAGTATGTAGAATTAGATAAAGATTGTTTTCTGCTTCTTTCCATCTGGGCTTTTGCATATTTGGAAAACAGTTACTGCCAACTCATTATGGTTAAATAATAAATCTGGCTATAGTTGCTTGTGAATAAAGGAATGTTATTAGTGATAAAGCCTCTATCTTAAAAGCTCCAACATGTATGCACACTGCTGTTTAGTAAGAATGATTTTAAATATTGTATTTCATCTTATTTGCCATGGATTGGTGATCAACCTACTTGTATATCAAAGTATTTTTCATGTGTTTATGAAAAAAGATGGATGGAGATTTACTCATATATATTCTAGATTGTGTAGCTAGCTCGCTAACTAACTAACTAACTAACTAACTAACTAACTAACTAATAATATAAGCAATTAATATATTTATGTACAGACCTGTATACTGATCTGTCACAAGGCTCTAGACAGTTTACAGCAGTAAAATCTCCAATAGCCAAAGACTTCCCAGTTCAAATCCAAAACATCAGTAGATTCTAAATGCCTGTTTAAATAAGATCATTTTTACTACTTTGCAGAACTCCAACAGACTGAGAACTGACCTATCTCAGGGTCAAGCTATTGCATAATTCTGGAGCGGCCACTTGAAATATGTGTTTCCAGGCTCAAATTTCCTTGACTCCTTGTGAAATAGAGATCCCAAACATCTTGTACCAGAATGTTTATACAGGGTAGACAGATTTTGATCAGGGCAGACATTGAGTCAAGACATATAGATGACATATGTGTTGACACTAGTATTTTGGTCTTTGAAAACCTATTAGGCAATCAATCCTGTAATGTCATTGTTCTATCATTGTAGCAATATTCATAGGCAACCTTATTGTGAACTACGTTTCATTGCTGTTTCCAAATAGTTTCAAAGGTAGTCCTAAGTAAAGAGTATTATAGTAGTCTAAGCATGAGGTAGTAAGGATGTTAAGGTGCCAAGAAAAATCATAACTATACATCAGGCAAAGCTGAGCAAAGCCCTTCCCACAAGCTATAGGCTTTACCTGGTGCTTGAGTGGAACCCATGAGTCAACCCTCAAGTTACATACCTGTTCCTTCAGGGCGAATGAGATCCATCAAAAACCAACATAGCTTTCCCTATTCATCCATTCGGAAATCATCAGTATCCACAACTCTTAAGGGTATTTCAGAAGGATTCAATGGTTAATGGCATTGAATCCCATTCTAATGAAGATCAGCCATGAGAGTGACAATGCAGCTTCAGTCCCAAGTTCAATCTGAATCTGAAGGAAAGGATTCAGATGGTCCATTTCATCAAGAATTCTTTGAAACTGATACCATTTTTTTTTTCAAAATCATCTTCAAGGAAGCATTTATCAGCTCCCAAAGTAGGTGAAGGAGGCATGAATGGGCATATTCTGTGATAGACTACCTACCAAATCAATTGGGGAGAAAAATTCTCAATGACTCTTAAAGCCCAGGATTGTCTGATCTATGATATACCTAGAGTAGACCATCTAAATTAGTTTTCCATCGTTTCAGGGATTAAAGATTCTAATCATTCGTATGTTGACCAGAAAATGACAAGACCATGCCTCATTATTCTGAAATACGGACAAGAAGCATACCTTCTGTATGAGTTGTCTTAAGTATGCAAAATCTATATATCCTATTAGGCAGCATTTAACATTAAAGAAAATGTTGTGATCCTTAGTTTTCAAAATATATACATTGCCCCATGCACAAGTGTCTCTGGATAATGATCATTTGAATTTTAAGCATATGAACTTATTTTTTCCCACTATCTTTTTATCTGGAAATACATTTTGACATGATGTATGGGATTTTAATTTGATGACATTATAGCATTTTTATATTTTTGCTCCTTAGGTAACCAGCCCCAGCAAGGTGTGAATCCATACAGTCATCTTCCACACTTCTAAACCTGAAAGATGTCAGAAAGAGAAAGTATTTGCACTGAAGAACAAGGAGAGCAAAATTTGTTGCACTAATTACTCCCCCCATTTGTGTGCGTGCGTGCGCTAATAATGTGAATATGTAGGAAATAGATGATTTTATGTTATTGTTTAGCAAATTACAGAAATATAAATTATGTGGGACTTAACCTGTGGCTGCAAAACATATGGATTTGGTGCTTTAAGATTTTTTTTTCAAGAGGGTGAAAAGTGCTGAATTTCTTTTTGTGCAAAAATAAATTTTTTTTTAAAAAAAAAAACAAAATCCTTAGTACTGCACTGGACCAAATGTTGAGTAAAAAGACACCTTTATTTATTTGTTTATATATTTATTATTTAATTTTTCTCCAGTTGCTAATTTTTTGTCAACTGTATATTTATATAAGAATGCCATAATTTTTTTTCATGTCCTGTGCTAAGCACATTGGACTACAAACATACTCCACAATTCTTGATCCAGCCATAATTTAACCATAATAAAATTGCTAAATTTATTTTTCAATAGAAAATCTATGGCGAGAGACATGCAAAGAATCAAAATGTGATTTCAACACCTAAATTATCACTGTACATCTTACTCAGAGAAAAAAAATGTTAGCTGGTGTTGTCACAGCTGATTTACAATGTGACTTACCACCCATACACTTTCACTGCTAACATTTGTGACAATTATGCCCTTTCTTCAAAGAATTATAGCTTGCACCTTTAGATAGATAAGAAGAATTGTGTCTTTCAGATTGCTTCCTCTGTTTTCAGAAACACTGTCAGAGACAGACTCCAGGATTTTCAAAACATGGAGTAGATATTAAGATGTCCTTTTGCTATTTTTTAGTCTATGAATATTCCAAAATAATTTCAAGAATTATTTCAATTTTTCAATAGGTAATACAAATGATTCTGACTAATGTGAAGAGATCTGTTAGGATTAATGCTTTAGTAATAATACAGCACTCAACATGCCAGAGAATGTATATGTGTGTTTGTATATGAAGATATGCATACATGCATTTGTGCACATATGCGTGTATGTGTGTTTAAATGTGCAGGTATATATCTATATGTATGTTTCTATAGATGAGGAATATTCTATAAATAAGAGCCCTGGCCTATACTTTAACATGTCATAGGCTGTTGATATAAGAGGTCTTCTAGTCCAACCCCTTATTCAAGCAGGAAACCTTATACCATTGCAGACAAATGGTTGTCCAATCTCTTCTTAAAAACCTCCAGGGTTGTTCCACTGATTTATTAAGTGCAGATCCAAAGGAAAACCAATAACTGAATGATATTTATGTCTCATATGGAGGAGTTTTAAAAAACTGCTATATAATGGCAACTAATATATTAAGGAGGCATGCCTAGAGTGTTAGCTTTGTGAGGAGGTGCATTTTGTAATGAATCATCAAGTAAAAAACTGATGTTATACTGTAGAATCAGTTTTGGTCATCGCAGTGGTAGAGTCCAATATTTACCAACTTTTCAATTATTTATAAGAACTTGGCTTTAGTTTCTGAGCCTTAGAATAATGGCTTTTTATTTTGTATGTTAGGTATTCAGAAGTTAAAAACATTAATTTTATTTATGTAAATACATTGTATTTATAAATTTGCTGCACAAGCACAACTATATTATTCAACAAATTTATATCTGAAATAGAAACTATTTTAACTTTGTGGAAGTGATATTTGCTCATATTTGGGTAAAGAATAAATAGAAGAAACTGTTTTGTGAATTTTGAGTATTTTTAGTATTAGATGAACAAATTTTTCAATGTGTTTCATGTAGGGCATATTTAAAAATATTTGAGACTATTTTATCACGTATTCTGTCAAAACTATAAATTTCCTTGTGATAGCATTACAGTAAGGATGACTATGGATGAAATAATATCTACTAATCAAATCAATCCATTGATATAGAATAAAATTTGAACTGCAACACCAAGCCATTCCTATCTTCTCATAATGATATGAGAATATTTAGGGTAATAAATACTTCTGTGAACTACTATGTACACTGTGAAAATATTTAGGTTGCACATTGTGAAAAAACTTTGAACTTTCTTGTAATTTGAATGTATAATACATTATTTACATTTGAAATGAAACCATGCCTATTTTCCGTATTATATACCTTGTTTTCTTAAAAATAATTAACAGCTGTAAATATATTTTAAAAATATTTGGTATTACAACAAATTGCTGATTCAGGTTTATATTCTTTTTTGTCACTGTGCAATTAGAAAAAATGCAGAATCATATTCATTTCTGTGCTCTTATTAGTTGCTGGTTAAGAATATAATGTGCAAAAGATGCCGCATCCCAGCACTATGGTCTAGGCGTTTCAGCCCTCTAGTTTTGCTATATTCATCTTTCATTTGGTGACAATCTATCAAATCTGGAGATCAACAGATAGTCCTGAGATTTTATCATTGGATGGAGTCTGGTTTATCATCAGGTGAAATTGCTAAAAAATATATCTGAATTAATAGTATTCAAAAATATGCCTAATTGTCACAGAAAATGGCGTGAAAATCCAAACCAGAACCTTCGGTACTGCATGCTTTTTAGATGTGGAATTTGAAATATGAAATTAAGAATTGGCTGGATGTTTCAAAGAAAGGTCTATTCTGTTTCCTGTAATAGTTATTCTGGAAGCTCTTGACTGAATGATGGTGAAAATCTCCGTTTTTTTTGTTACCAGTGTCTGATAAATATCTGATAAAGTTACAAAAATATTGATAACTTCATTTTTATAATATGTGAAGCCAAATATGGCTACTTGAGTCTTTATGAAACTTCATTTAGAATATGATTCAACTATTCCCATTCTGAACATACTCCAAATGTGTATGCATGCTCCCAAAATTATTAGCAGTAAACATGCAGGCAAGCAATTTGGGGAGTTCATATCCATGCATCTGGAAGACATTCAGGCTGCAAAAGATTATACTTCTGAAAAGAGGATTGGTATGGAGAACATCTGCCAAGGGCAGAGACAAATTAGGATTGTTCTAGATTGTGCATCAAACTGAATATTCTGTTTTAATTTTAAGGTGTGGTTATAACAATGCATTTCCTTTCTGTTTCAGCTCTGCCAGTTCTGAGATTGGAAATACAGAGTTCTCGTTATTCATTAAACAAGCTCTGTTAGCTGGGGTCTGTGGCAAAGTTGTGAAGAGCTTATTAAGCTTATTAAGATTCTGTATTTAATAGTACAGATTTAAATAAATCAGTATCTATCAGATTTATATTACATAATTCCATGAGAGAACACGTGTTCCAGGCAAATCTGGATTCTCTCTGATTCTCTCCTCTCTTATATTCACATGCAGGTGGAATAAATCTTGGTTTACAGGACATTTGTTCAAAATTTGGCATTTTAAACCACCTTATTCAAGGAGAATAATGCCAGAGAAAATATCAGTTTGAGGTTCTTGTTCATACCAGAAAATAGTTTTTAAGAATAAACTGAAAATTTCTTAAGAGAACCTTGAAATATTGATTTTCTCCTGTTGTTAGATATAACAAATTTAATGAAAATATCAAGTAAATGGTTGAATTTAGCCATATAAATAGGTTTGTTCAATCTCCTCTTTTCTCTTACCTGGCCATGAAAATTAGGCAACTCCAATCCTTTCCAATCCCAAACATATTGGGAGGGAAAATAAGTTGAACTCCTAGAACCACGATAGATTTAGGAAAATTAGGATACACACACACACACACACACACACACACAAACACCAAACTTCTGATGTAAGACAAATTCAGCAAAAATGAATTATATCCTTCAAAGTAGAAGAAAAATAAGATATATAGTCTTTATATTAATAATAGCAAGAATCTTGGTTCAATATTGAACCTCATAATTAGGCAACAAAGTTATCTTACTAACACTGGAGACACCACTGAGTTCAATCTCCTGCCCAGGTTTTCCTGCAAAAGATAGCTATCAATTGCTTGAACTCTTAGTGAACCTTCTATAAATAAACCTACAAATAGCGATTTCTATTTGGTAATTGCTTCCGCTGCTGAATTACACGATTAAGAAGATTTTTATAACATACAACTACAATCTGTCTTCTTATAATTTTAATCCATTTTTCTTACAATTCTTTTGTGTCACACTGTTTTCATTGTTTGAAAAATTCTCAGTTTTTCCCCCTGAAAGCTAAACATGCTAGTTATTTTATTCTCTCTTAATGAAACTTAATTCCTAATCTTCTGAATCTTGCTGCCATTTTTAAAACTGTAAATTCAGTTTCTTGAATTCCTCTTAGGGTATGGTGCCCAGAATTGGACATAGTACGTTCAATAGGATCTGATCAAATTATTTAACTAAAAAAATGTAAGCCTGACAAAATTTGTTGATGCTGAATAAATTGTCAGATTGACTGTGTAAAGCAGGGGTGTCAAACTGGCCCCGTCACATAATATGACGTATTGCAACCTTTTTTCCCTTGCTGGAGCTGGAGTGGGCATGGCTTCTGTGTGATGTATCTGGCCTGCGGACCGGCAGTTTGACATCCCTGGTGTAAAGAATCAAGATCTTCTAGAAATAACCTATTATGTTAAAATAAATCAGGTGTCTTTCAAGGCCATCAGGTGAATGGCAGGTGTCCATAAATTTAGAAAGACAAGAGGAAAAAAACCTCCTAAAATATAAATCCTGGAGCATAGGCCTATAAATAAATTTTATTTTTGTGTATTGCACTGGACAATCTGTTTATATGGCTCCATTTGTATGTGCAATAAGGAGACTAAGCTTGTTGAGTCATGTCTTATAAGAATTCTGCCAAATAAGACAATTCCTGAATAAGGGGTTACCTGAGATTTATAGCCATGCCTACATGAATAAAGCTGAAATGTTGTATTCAAGATGTCTACCTATATTTTGGAAATTCTGACAACTTTGTATATGGATGCCCTAAAAAGACTGCCTCTTCTTTCCAAGCATTAACAAAGTGTTGTGTTTGTGAGGAAGGTGGGGAAGATAATTTGTAGATAGAAACTTAATATGCTATAGATCTGATTGTTTGTAAATTAAGGAATCCCAGCTTTTAGAGGCTGATACTGAAAAACCAAAATTAAGTGGAGTCCAGATAGTAATTCATGTTAGTATACCCACTGAGACTGGCCCTGAAGTGCAACTCTAAATTCTGGCATCATAGCAACTATCCTGAAGCCTCTAACATGCATAGATAGGATCTCTTTAGTTTGCCTAGGTAGACTACTGGCCAGTATGGACAATGAAGATCCATCACAAAGTCACTGGACAGTTGCTACTCACCATCACCATTCCACTATGTCCATGTTCCCTGTTACATTTTCCAATAGGCTTGGAAATGAACCGTATTCAGACTCACAATCCAAACATTTACTGACACAATGATGTCATCCCCTTTGTTCCGAGGGATTTAAGAATCTCTGCCTATAGAACTCAATCTCCATCACTGATCATCCAGTAATAAGTACACTTTCATACTTTCCAGGATGAATATGCAAAATATGCAGACTATATTGAGATATTTGAAAAGAGAGGAGCATAGTCCTTGCTCACCCTCAATTCTTTATACAATCTCATTCTCATAAAATGTCATCACACAACACAAGAGTTATCCTGTCTGATGGATTAAACTATAAGAACACATTTTTTAAACATGACTGTGATTGTTGGCTCTTCCCTCATCTAACCAAAAGGGATCTTGCTCTGTTCCTGTCATTTCTAAAATCTTGGAACACTGCAGAAAGCATATGCACTTTTTATTAGATTGTATTTAAGTGGAGATATAATCTGGTTAATATGAAATAGTAACAGGAATATTTAACTAACTTTAATTCACGTTGTGGAACGTTTGAGTATACAGTAATAATTTCTTTTGGCTTCCAACCTGGTGATTTATAGTATATTAAACTTTTCATTCAGTGTACATACAATGGATTCAGAGCAATGTACACACCATTATTCACAAAAATTCAGTGAGGTAGGTAGGGTATATAGTCATCAGTGATCCTGATGACTTTAACAATTTTTAAAAGATTATAATATTTGTAATGATTTTAACAGGTTATAATCGTATATTTTGATATGCTCTTTTACTGATCCCACTCTCCACTTTGATCAAGTTTTTCAACATCTTTATGATAGTTTATGCTAAGCTGCAGCATCTACCTGTACTAGATATTAGACATATTTCCTCAAAAATATTTCAGATAAATCAAGCTAAATAAAATTTATTTTCTTGTGCTTTCTTGCTCCCCAATCAATGATCTAGATGCCTTATGGGATCTGTAAATGTTTAGTATGAATTTATTCTTAATTTTGATCTTAACAGGCAAGGGGTTTCTTTTAAGTAGCCCACAAGCTATAGGCATTCATTTCTCAATCCATTCACCATCTTCCAAATCCCACTAAATTTTTTATTGTGAAGGCTGATCTTTTTTAAATTTTATTTTGGGAGTTGTAGTTTTATAAACAATTCCCTCCCATGCACATTCATTTCTAGACAGCTCTGTCCAGTTTTTAACATGGTATTTTTGGCTATCAAAGATGTTCTTCAACATTAGCACCATCTTCTAAGAGGTGTAGAATACCCATATCAAAGAATTTGGAAGATTACACCAGATCAGATGGTCACAGCTATTTTTCTTTCATTTTCACTTTCATAATTATTACATTTCCTCAACATGCTATGCAGCAACATTAGTTTACTTTGCTGTTTTCCATTTGTTGTTCATTGGAATTATTGTTTTTTTTAGTACATCCTCTCTTTAAAGAAATTCCTATTTTTAAGCTCTTTTTCTCATCACTTTCTCCCTAACACAAAACCATTTTTGTTGTTACTAACTTTATTAAAATTTGATTTTTTAAAAGTTGAATACACATGTTTTTTTGTATTCAACTTTAGCTTCCTTTCAAATCAGCATCTCCAATATTACATGGTAACTTTTTTCTGATGTCCTTGCTATTTCCGCTTCCTCAGTTAACTTTTCTCAGTTAGTAATTATGTTCTTTCTTGCATATTTTAAAAATTTGCCCTGAGAAGAGAATTTAAGAAAAAATATGCATGTGTTTAGTACATAATACATAAAGTAGTAGGACAATATTCTTGGACATACTGTTTCTGTTATTTTAAGAGCATTCTAGATTATATTAATTTCATGTGACCATAAAAAGAAACACAGTTTCTTGCCTTTAAATAAAGTATAATAATAAATAGTATGCTTTAAAACCTATGATACATAAAATTATTTCCTCACATACAATAATTGGCAATATAATTAATATTTACATTTTCTTTTCTTCACATGCAGTTTTGATGGCACTTTGTTGCAAAAAAATAATGCAGCTTTATTTAAAAAAATGAAATAATTATTTATTTATTCTTCTCCTGCCCCCCAAAAGGACTTCTGCATGAAAGAATATTGTAGTTTTATAAGCAAATCAATATTCTTTGTTTTAAAATATTTGAAACTATCAAGAATTAGAAAATGGTCATTCATATCAATAATAAATGAAACCAGCAATCCTGTTTTTCAATAGCTTTACAATGTTTATACTATCAAGTGGGAAATAAAAACTAGCATTTAAAAAAATCCATTATTGTGCTAAATATTTTGTATTGCAAGTATCTTTAGAGAATATGTTGTCATTTTCACTGTTATTTTTGTTGGAAACTTAAGTGCCTTAAGATTTTAAGGTTACTTTTTAATGTTGTCTTAAAATCGACACTAGGTAATGCAAACTCTTCCAAAACCTATATGTCTTTTAGCTTGACAAACTGTAAAGTTAGAATTGTAATAGCACCAAAATTGAAATGCCTTTTGACTGGTTTTGATTAAATATCTTTGAAAGCCAAATGATCCATTTTAGACTTTATTCCTATTTGAAATAATTTGAACATACGTCACTGTGAAATCCTTGCCAAACTGATTCTTAGCCACACACTTATATATGCCTGAATCTGATGAATTTGGATTGTGAATTATTAATGTTCCTTGTGGATGAAGAATCTCACTTCCAGATAGTTTTCCTTTGATGCCTGTGAAAAATAATGAATGGTTAGGTAGCTCCCATGTAATTTCTGGATCTGGTATCCCAAATGCCATACAATGAAGCTGAATCGCCAACCCAGCCACAGTGTGAATATTCCTTGGGGGTCGTTTTGTGATCCTTGGTGAATGTCCCAAAATTGTTACAAAAATGACCACTGTTGAATCACCAATATAATTCTGAGCTTTGCACATATAATTTCCTCTATCATGAATGTTGGTTTCTCTAATAAGTAAGGTACCATTCTCCAGTAATGTATACTTCCCATTAATTTGAGGTCGATCTAAGACAAAGCCATTGGGAAGTGTCCATATAATGTTTGGCTTGGGACTTCCAGCAGCAAGACAGTGAAGTGATAAAGATTCTCCACTAATGCTTTTTATTGTCCCTCCTGAGTGGATAAAAATCATAGGTGTTTCACCAGTTTCCAATATGATCAACTTTTCAATGTAGCCTACTTGATTTTTAGCTGAACATCTGTATTTTCCTGCATCTGCTTTAGAAAGTCTATTGATGACAAGGGTGCCATTGCTTCCCAAATAAAACCGTAATGTTCTAATACCAGTGTAGAGCCGTGTACCATTTGGTAATATCCAAATTATCTCAGGACGTGGGTTTCCATCAACAGAACAGTTCAAGAATATGGTTTTTCCTGGTTTTGCTATGACTTTCTCATTAAATGGGTTCCTGAAAATCGGGCGCCGTAGGATCTCAAGCACTTCCAAATGGACTACCAGCATGCTTTCTCCCCCATCATTACGTGCTATGCAAATAAACTCCGCTGTATCTGAAGACCTTACATTGCGAATTTCAAGAGTCCCGTTTCTATGTACGGTTATCCTACTTCCATAGTATGGGGATGTTAGGAAAATATTATCAGGCATGATCCACATAATCTGCGGCACTGGATCTCCTTCAGCATTACAAGCTATTTGTTTTTTGGAGTGTTTTATAGCTGTTGCTTTAATGACAGACTTGTTAGAATACAAACCATTGATCAGAGGTGGTTTAGAGATTACATCTAGTTTATAAACCTTGGTCTCATCTCCACCAGAATTGCGCGCTACACATATATATTCTCCAGCATCTAAAAGTCTTACTTTAATGATTGACAATGACCCATTAATATGGAGAATATATCTCTGTGCAGAAGCTAAAATCATATTGTTAGAAGGCAACAACCAAAATATTTTTGGCTTAGGTTCCCCTATAGCATCACAATCAAAGAACGCATCATCTCCTGCTTTTATCTTTGCATAGGCCTTTGAATTCTGCCTGATACGAGGTACAGCTGCAATCACTTTTATCTGCACTTTCATCTCATCTTTTCCCAGTGTATTTTGAGCATGGCAAGTGTAATCCCCCTCTTCCATCATTCCAACCTTATTGAAATACAGAGTCCCATTGTCAAACACAGTATATTTCTTCAGCATATGCCCACTATCATCAGCTTGCATTGCATTATTGATTGTTGTACCATCTGGCAAACTCCAAGATATTTTTGGCTCAGGGGATCCTGAAGCTTTACAATCCACTTTGAAGTCTTTCCCATAAGGTACCAGTTTCTTAAAATACTGTTTGTGATCAATTTTTGCAGGCTTCATTGTCACACTGACTTTTAAAAGGGTCAAATCATCGCCCATTCTGTTTCTTGCTACACAAATATAATCACCTGCATCCTTTTCTGTGATTGACTCAATAACTAAGGATCCATTGGGATACACGTGGATTCGGCTCCCCATTCTGAAAAAAGAAGTGGAAAAGGAATCATTTATTTTGGACTGTAGGACAAAATCCAAAGTTGTTGATTCTCATAGTAACTGAAGATTTTTTTTTTTTAAAAAAAATAAGCTTTATAGGATTGGAAGAAACCCAACTCCAACTCCAGTTCCAACTCCAACTTCATGGTACAGGAATCTAAATTAAAATATTTCTCACAGACAGCCTAAATACTTCATTTAAGCTTACCCACTGTCAGAAAATTTTTCTAATTAGGTGTCAGGGTCAGTGCTGGTGAAATACAACATAAATTAATGGGGTCCTAAAAGTGAAAGGAATAGGTTTCTGTGCAATACAATAGCTATTAAAAGAAATTTTGCAACTTTCCTAGAGATGTTTGTTTGTCTAATTCTATGACTGGCCATCTCAGTCAAGAACACTGGGCAGCTTACAGTATATATATATATATATATATATATATATATATATATATATATATATATATATATATATATATTACAATTGAAAATATTAAAAACATTTTAAAATAATCAAAACAGTAAAACTTAAATGAGGAGTACTCTAAGTAAAAAGAGAATCAGTCTGGTCTAGCGGTTAAGGCACCAGGCTAGAAAGGGAGAGACCACGAATTCTAATCCTCCATTAGCCATGAGAGCCAGCTGGATGGCCTTGAGCCAGTCACTCTGTCTCAGCCCAACACACTTCACAGAGTTGTTTTGGGGAAAATAGGAGGAGGAAGGAATATTGGTATTTTTGCTGCCTTGAGTTATTTATAAAAATAATAAAAGGGTATTAAAAAAATTCTTAAAAAGAGAAACAAATGAAGTTTCCCTCAGAACTAGTGGAAATACTATTATTAAGTAGAATATATGCCAGGGTGCACAAAGAATATCTAAAATATACATGGGTAGAATTTCATGTAACGGGCAAGTTTGCTTCTGCAAATGAGGTATGACGCTTTCTCTCCAAAATTGCTTAAGGCAAGACAGGCTAAAGAAAAAGCTGTGCCATTTGTGGGGCACAGGTGTCTTCTATGTCAGAATTTCCCAAACGTTCTGGCTTGGGGACTGGCAAGGGAGAGGGGGAAGAGGGGATGGTTCCATGCAAACAGCTGGCAAGCGTGCTTGCACAACTCCAATCACGCAAGTGGCGGACACGCATGCCCAATGCTTATGCAAATGGAGCACATGCACACACATTTCCCCATGTGGGGATGAGTGGCCCAATTCCGAAGGCTCACTGCCCAGTACAGGGCTATGGTCCGGGGCTTGGGGACCTCTGTTCTATGTGATACGTGCTTGGTACTAGAAAAATGTCTAACCCTCAGTCATATTTTCTCAAGGCTAAACAACATACTCAGTTCCCTCAGTCTCTCCTTACAAGGATTAGTTTCTCATCCCCTAATCTTCCTTTCTAATGTACAGTATTGGATGCAACACTGAAGCAAATTTAGTGCAAAACTTAGTGAAATTATTACTTCATGTGATTGTAAAATTACATTTTGAGTGAACAAATTGCATTTACCACATGTTGCTTTTTGCTACATAGAATAAACTTTCTGATAGGACATTTTATTGTGGCAGGCCCAAACTATCAGAGGTTTACATAATGTCAACCAATTACATTTTATTATGCATTAATATTTTTTTACTGTGTAAGTTCATTGCTTGAATTTTCACCAAAATGTGTTACTTTAACCTGTTAAGAAAATTATCCTAATGAATATAATATGTCATATGGTCTGTTCATCACACTTGCCAACAGTGAGATATTCTAAAGGAAAAATGTTTATTTCTGTTTGTTTTGGAAGGGAATTTGCTGGGGGCTTGTAACATTTTGTAATAGTTTTGAGAGATTTTCAAATAGAAATCATCCATCCCAAAACACTACTTTTCTTAGGACTTCTGCTATCAGTCATAAAAGCTACTTCCATTGTTTATGATTCAAAGATGGATTACTCCTTTATCTGACAGCAGGAGTGAATAAAAGTGAATCTACATCTCCAACCATCTCTTTTCCTCCTCTTTATGCATCCAAATGTATGCCTGTGATTTCAGTATTAACAAAATATATAACTATAGTAACTATTTATCTTTGCCCATCCATTGTATTATTCCTGCTTCACGTTATTCCTAACAATTTGTTCATATTGTGATTATGGACTGTCATTAGACATTTGGTTATTACCATTGGAATAGAATGCAGTACCATATACAAATGTCTCATAGAGTAAGTCTGCTCCCAGGATCTTGCATGCCCCAAAGCCAGCAGGTAAGCATTTGGCTAATTATTTTAAATTAGTTTCTTATCTCTTCCATTGTTCTCTTACCTGCATTTCATTCTCCTTTAGTTAGTTCTAGAATTTTATTTCTCCTTTTATTCTTCTGTACTATTCCATCTTAAATGCTAAGTGCTAAATTCCTCTACAGCTTTCCCAACCATCTTTTTTTTGTATCTCCTTGCCATCTAAGCAGTTCAAATAACAGCTGTAAAAACTTTCCTATCAGAAAAATTCAGTCAAGACCAGCCAGAAACTGTTCTGAATTAGTTTCCAAGAAACCTACCTGTGCCACTGGTCAACAACAGCTTTAGAAGGTAATCTCCACATTATCCTGGGTTTTGGCTCCCCTGTAGCTGAGCAATTTAGAAGTAATCTATTCCCAAAATTCAATTGAGTCAATCTTTGGGATGTAGCTCCAATTCGGGGTATTATATCTTGGCGTTCCACTTGAAGTAGTACTACTCTCCTTTCTGAACCAGTGGAGCTTGTAGCTATACATTCATATTTCCCGCTGTCAGAAGGAACTATACTCCTGATAAGAAGTGATCCATTGGGGAACAAAAAAACCTTGCCATTCAGGTAGTGCAGTGGTTTCATCTCTGTTCCATCAGGGAGGACCCAGTGAACAGTTGGATGAGGGTCTCCTTTGACAGTGCAAGGAAACTTCAAACTTTCACCCATAGTCTCTAGTATAAGTTGCTTCTTATCTTCCAGTATAATGGGTGGTGCAGCAATGACTTGCAACCTGATTGCCATAGTATCTGAGCCAATTGGATTATTTGCTGTGCAGGTATATATCCCTCTGTCATAAACACTGACTTTCTTGATCAGTAAAGTGCCATCTGAGTGCAGAGAAACAGCCTCATTTTCTACTGAAAATTCAGAGATATGAGTTTTATTTGCGAGGATCCAAGTTATAGAAGGAATGGGATGGCCTTCAGAGGCACACCTCATAAATGCTGGCTTGCCAGAATGGACAGTAATGATCCTGGAACTTTTCCCTAGAATTCTTGGTGGATAAGTAACCACAGACAAAGTGACCAGAAGCTTGTCTGAACCTTGTTGATTGGCAGCCACGCACAAGTACTGTCCACGATCCTGGATGTTGACATTCTGAATGGAGAGTGTACCATTGGGAAGAATCTCAAATCTGTTATGGTGTCTGTTTTTTGATGCATCAGACTCTGATTAATCAAAAAGAAGTTATATTTATTAAAATGTTGCCTATTACATACTGTAACTGGTTGATTATTAATTTGCAAACAAGAAAATAAGATTTTGAATTTCTTCATAAATTACCTTTTAATTATTTTCTTGACTTAACTTCCCCCCCCCCTTAAAACTACTATAGAAATCAAATTAAATATCTCAATTTTCATATACTGATTATTATGTCTAGTTATGTTTATTATACCCATTAATCAGGCATGCATTTGCATGCTTTAAATTCAGAGATTAGATAAATTTTGGAATTTTTTTTTGTTTTTGCCTTAGTCAAATGCATTCATATATTAATCCCAGAATCTCAGTCTAACCAGCATGAACAATACCTTTTCTTATTAATAAAGTAGATAAAAAAAATCCACTTGCAACAGCTTCGTTTATCAGCCAATCATGGTTATTATATAACAGCAAAATTTAGCTTTAAGATGATTTGTGGTTATAATTTATTTGAATTACTTGACTCTTTTATTCCAGGCTTTTGATATAAGGTGATGCTATCCCTTCTTAGATTATTTACCCATTTTGATCAAGAGAAAAATAATGAACTGTATATACTAGCACAAGCCCTGTTTATATTGACATTTATAGGACAAGATTCCTGGTTTAAAGAAGCTTCTTTTATAATTTATTTGAAACAATTCTTGTTGGCACTATATGTACATTATTTATACATGCGTGTTTTCATCCAGTTAGGAAAAAGCATAAATACGATTCCCTCATGGGATGAATTGTATTATTCTGGACCAGAGAAAATAGATTACATTTTAATGTTCTTTTTTTATGGAAAGCTGGTGCTTTAGGTTTTGCATAATGTGCCACTGTGATGCGATAATTAAGGCAGTGTCTAGAACAGTGGTTCTCAACCTTTTTAATGCCGTGACCCCCAACTGGTCGTAAGTCGAGGACTACTCAACCGGTCGTAAGTCAAGGACTACTCAACTGGTGCAGCACCGTTTGCAGAATGGGACTTTTGGCGGGCTCAGCAGGGCAGAGACAGCCTGGACAATTCCTATTGGCTTTTGAAAGCCAATAGAATTAGACTCTATTCAAGAGAGTCTATTCTATTGGCTTTCAAAAGCCAATAGAATAAAAGGGAGTAGCACAGCTAAGGAAAAGGGGGGAAAATGGCGGACTGCGTTGTTTGGCGACCCCCGTGAAATGATCGTTCGACCCCAAATGGAGTCCCGACCCACAGGTTGAGAACCACTGATCTAAAAACTGGGAGGCTGAGTTTCCCCTTTTAGGTACAAAACCAGCAGGATGATCTTGAGCTAGTCTTTCTCTCTCAGCTGTAGGAAGGATACAATGGCATGCCACTTCTGAAAAACTTTGCCAATAACACTTTTGAAACTCATTGGACAGTTGCCAGAGTCAACACTGCCTTAAAAATTCCACCTTACCGCATTAAGTGTATATTTTATATAGTATTCTCTTAAAATATTCTAACTTGATTAAAAATGTTTTTAAGTATAGCTGTTCGATCTAATACTTCAGAATTATCTCAGAATCATTCTGAATATTCTGAGTATGGCTTCAGAGCAGCTATACTGTATCACATTATTACTATCTGTGCTTAGAGAAAATTTAGCTAAAATCTGGATTATTGTTGCTCATTTTCTTTATATCCATTTATTTTTCTGGCACATGAAATTCTTTTCTATCCAATGAAATATTGTAGTTAGATTTGCGACTGACCCAACGTCATTAGAAAATTTCATGGCTAGTTTAAAATCTGACTTTAATCCTAATCTAACACTATATCACGTTGTAGCTATTTAATTTCATGATTTAATTATAGGATTGTAAACATACATAAGAAATTAATTTTGTATGCTTTACGTCTTAATTCACATCTTGTTTATGATAAAAGAGAACAAATGTAAAATATTAATTTGAAAAGCTTACCTGCTAATATTTTGGTCCAATGGATGGTTGGTTGAGGATTACCATTGGCTTCACATGGAATGAAAGCATCTGAATTAGCCAGGACAGTAAACACTGCAAATTTCCCCCCACTTATTCTGGGTTTTGCCAATCTGGTTTGATAGAATGAATTTAAATCTTCTGGATTGGTGATGGTGGCTACTTGGTCTATTCTTTTGATGTAATTGTTCTTATCTATCTTCCACAAAGGGGTATAAAGGGTGGAGCTTTGAGGTGATTTTAATACTGTGTTAGTTATGAGTGGTTTTCCAGTATCTCTGATTTTAGACAATGGAAACTGCCATGATATTTTACCCCATCTAGGAGATGAAGTGGTTTGTGTAGTTTGGATTAACCTTGTTTGGGATACTAATGGACTAGTGGTCATGTAAATTGCATTAGTAGGAATCTGTGGATTTATCTCCTTTTTCACATGAAGAGCCGTTTTTGTTATTTGTATTTTTGGAGTTGCTGTTAGTCCTACATACTGGTAAGATTCCTTATCTGCTCGTCTAGTAGTTTGTGGTACTTTAGTAAACATTGGTCCAGTTGTTACCAAGGATGTGTCTGGTAATACTGTGCTTATCTTTGTTGTATCCAATGACATTTCAAACTGTGGAGCTGTAGATGAAAGCTTTTCAGATGACAGTTCCATTGGTAGCTTAATGTTGTAAGTATTTTCAAGGGATTCCTGAGCAGTAGCTAAGAATGTATTATCTCTTTTTATATCTGCTGTGCTAAGAATTGGTGGTTGTGGTGTAACTGTAACTATGTCCATAGTAGTGAATTTTGAAAACAATTCAGTCAGTATAAGACTAGGAGGTTCAGTTACATTTTTCATTGTTTTCATAATAGGAGAAGGAATAAAGGGAGTGACAAATCCTTTATTGACCAAAATGTTTCTGTGAAAAGGCATTGACTTCTGCAGAGGTCTTCTCCTCCTTTGACCTTTCTTTCTTTGTCGTCGAAATGTTTTAAGTTTGGAAAACTTGTTTGCAACATTGGTAGTTGGATTATGTATCAGTTGGTTGTTTGTAGTATCAGTTTCTTTATTAAGATCTGTTGTAAAGTTGTACATAGGCACTATGGATGGTGATTCTGTAGTACTGAGTGATAATGTTGGATTGTCTTTTAGTAATGATACATTTTCACTGATACGTTCAACTGAGTCTCTAGGAACATCAGTTTGATTGTCACTTTTGGAAACATCAGTTTCATATATTGATGAATTTTTGTATGTTGGCCCTGAGATGTGAAAATCTGTAACATATATTTCAGATGAGGGCTTTGTTTGTATTATGGATTGCTTCTGCTGTAGCTCTTTTTGAATATAGCTGGTAACAAAAGAATTATGTGAAGGTATTTCTCCATTTGAAACACTAGAAGAGACATCGTGGATACTAAAAGAGGGAATAGTGGATTTGATCATGAAAGGTGATATATTAGCTTTAGTAAATGTACTTTTTAAGTTAAGCTTAGATTTATCCATGTTAGCTGATGGATCTATGTCAGGGATTGCTCGATGTGTACCTGATTTTATTTTTCTTTGTGGAACAACTTGTGTACTTTTAGAATAGAAGGGGATACTTGTAGAAGCTTCATACACTTCATCTGTATTTATCTTGTTACTTGAGGACATCACAGTGTGACTTGAAATTGTTGATTTTGGATACTGAGGTTTGATCGATGTATACATAAATGTTTGTGGGGTAAATGATTCAACTGATATGTTGGAAGGAGTTTGTATGCTTATTTCTGCAGGGAAAGTAAGACTTGAGCTTTCTGGAACAAACCCTGATCTAGGAAAAGTAAATCTATGCCCTGCATTATTGGAAATACAGTCAGGTTTAATTATTCGTCTTCTTCCAAAGGTTTTTCTTCGTCTGCTGTACCATCTGGGGAATGGACTATGAGTTGCAGAATCCTTAACTACCTCAATCTGTTGATCGCCAAGAATGGCTGGGCCTGGAGATACCTGTAATATTATTTTTTTTCTACTGTAAATATAGCCATGTTGTGATGCATCGTTAGACAGACTGACTGCTGCTGTGGGTACTTGATGGCTTGGGTTTTTTGATGCTTTCTCAGCATTCTCTGCCAATAAATCAGGTTTTTCAACAATTGTGTGTGAAATTATAAATTGGCTATTATTAGTAATAGCCACTGTTGGTATTACTGTTGCTTTGCTTTTAAAATAGACATTACCTTCTTCAGATGTTATCAATCTCTGAAAAGAATTTGAAGTGTTTGCTGCACTGTTGGGTTCTTTAAACAATGATGGCATTGTTGCTTCCATCAGGGTTTGTGGCGTAGGCAGTGTTTGATATCTTTCAAGGCCTATTCCATCCATTTCAGGTTTTGGTTTATTTAGCCAGTTCTGGTCTATAGGTATCTCAGACTGCATAACCATAGAACTGGTTGCTGAAGGTTCTGGTTCTGTAACTATGTTATATGTTGCAAAAGAGCTGTAATTATCTGACATACTTCCAAATTTTGCTGTCACTACATTTCCTGATGCTTCTCTCAAAGTATATTTTGAAGGTTTTCTAGTGGCTAGAAACATAAGTTCTTTCTCAGCTAATATATCATCCCCAGATATCTCTCCTTCATTTTCTGAACTCTTTGAAGACAAAAATGCATTTTCTGTTGGTTTTACTGTTATATTTTCTTGTCTTCTTAACAATGTGATATTCCTTGTTTTTTCTAAAAATGTTGCCCAGTGCAATGAATTGATTCTCTTAGTAGAAAGACCAAATCTCTTTTGTCCTCTAAATCTTCTGCTTATCTTGCCTCTATTGGTCCTGTAGATTTCTTTGTACTTGCTTTTGGTTTTATTGTGTATAAAATAATTTGTAAATGAACTTTGCATAGATGCTTGGCTGGTTACCTCGGCAGGAATAGTAGAAGGAAAATTTTGAATTTGGCCAGTAAAGTCATGTTCTTGATTGCCAGATCCTTCTGTTGCTTCAGTATCTACTTGAGTATCTTTTTTTGTGAGTTGTTGGAACTTGCTCAAATTCCTTTTAACCAGTACTTGGTAAACTAAATAATGCACACCATATTTATTGGCTATTATACACATAAAATAGCCATTGTCTTGTTCTGTTGTTGGTTGTATTTTTAATGTACCATTGTGAAACAGATGTTTATTTTTAAAAGAACTATGAAGAATCATATTTCCTGGTATGACCCAATTAATAGAAGCATCTGGGACACCTGTAGAGGGACAGGGAAGATCAATAATTTCACCTAAAAATACTGAAAGCTGTGCTCCATTTAAAAGGTTGTGCTTCAAATTTGGATCTATCACTGTAATTCTAAATGTCAAGACATCGGCATCTGCATAGTTGGTTCCTATACAGTGATAAAGTCCAGTGTCAAAATAATCTGCTGAATGTAGTAAGAGTTTACCAGATTTTTCTATCACTATTCTTCCATCTTCACTTACATATGGAGCCTTAACCTTGGTCCCATCAGGTAACAGCCACTCTGTTACAGGGGTAGGGGCTCCAATTGCTTGGCAATCCAATTCTACAGAACCATTAACTAAAACTGAATGTTCAGTTTTGGAATTCTTGTCTTGTAAGATCATGGCCCACATTTGTTTGGTGGGCTTTGGGACATCATCAGGAAGAATGATTTGAGCATCTATTGAATATTGGATATGCAGCATATTGAGTGTAGTTGCAGTCCTGTCCAATTGCATTGACACTTGACTCTGCATCAGCCAATGAGGTTCAGCTGTCAGTTCAGCTTCTATGTTAGTGAAAAGTTCCTCATTTTTAGAATCTATTTGTTTGTACTTGTACTTGATAGAAGGCATTTCTGTTAGTAAGTGTTCCTGTCTCAATTTTAGCGGAGAATCACTATAAAGAGCAAGAATACTCCACAGTTGATGAATATGATCCTGCTCAATGCTACACTTAAGAAAAGTTGATAACGATATTTTAAGTAGTGTATTGTTATCAGTTTTTTTAAATATAACTGGAGATATTTTTGAAGGTTTCTGTACATTACAAGCTATATTTGCTTGATTTCCTGTTTGGTCTATTAAGTTTAATGACATAGATCCTATAGGGGCCATAAAATCTTTGGGAGACACTGAAGTGAGTTCTCCATCATCTACCACAGTTATAGTTTTCAATTTTAAATCTGTATCTACAGTTGGTTTACTACAGTTAAATGAAGACAGTGAAATTTTAGTTAAGTGTTTCCCTTTAGAATTCCTGGGGTTGGTGCATAGTGGACATTGCAGTGCATCTGTAGCCTCTCTGCTCTTTTTGCATTTTACAACATCTAGAAAGAAAGAGATCAGAAAAAGTATCACTATCATTTACTGTAATTTCATCATTCTGTGTCTTGTTCATTGGGATAATAGGAGAACAAGTTCTTGACCTCTGCATAATAATCCTCAGATATTTAAAGTCTAATAATATATATCTTCTTGTTTTCTTTCCTCAAAGCTACACATAGCCAATTATTTGGAATGAAATATTTCCCATTTTTTGAAAGCATACTTGCACCATTCCGTCTAAAACCATTGTTATTGCTCATTTTGCAGCCACTTTTAACTGTTGTGTCAACCCAAAGCCTCTTATGTTGCAGGTGAGCATTCTATGTTCCATATTAATAGCTACCAAAGCTGATTTTGAGATGCTCTCTCCAACATACCAAGTTACTCTACTGACATTTCACAGCCATATGTTCAAATCTCAGTAATAACTTTTGTTCTTTTGGTCCTCTTCCTCTGAGTAGGATAGAATAAACCATAAATGGAGAGCTTCTGCTTCATCCTTAACTCTCCCAAATTCCAAACTGTTCCCCAAATAGCAAATTTGATTGTTATTACAGGTTTGCAAGAATTGAAACTGCAAGTTTTGTCATATTTTTTTTGTTCCCAGATTGTTTCCTTTAAACACATTTTTATTTGCCTCTTCAGCCTTCCCAAACTCCATAACAAGCTTTGTGACCACCCCTTTTATTGTCACCACATCCCCCAATGGTTTCTGTCATCGCCATCACCACCATCTCTGGAAAGTTAAGAGACTGAGTTGCAACTCAAACACACTGCCCAGTTTTGCTTTACATGCAAACTATAGCTGAGTCAAGTGCATTTTCTCTTTTTTCCCTGAGTGAAGAACCGTCTATGTGACTCATCTAAATATCATTGTAGTATTTTCAATTCATTTTCATCTCAGGTTGATTTATAGGGTAATAATTTCTCACTTAGTTTTGTGTTATCTAACAAGATTTCTTCTACTTCATTACCCAAATCATTAATAACAATATTGAAGAAAATGAGATCAGAATCCTGTGACATCCCACTGGATGTTCAATCTAGCTGTGCAAGCAGACTTTAACAACCTTATTTTTACAGAATATTTGATGCTGTCTATACTTGATTATTTTCTTGAAGGTATTTTATTACTTGGCTACGTAACATTATCAGTGCTGGTGATTGTGGGGTTTGCTCCTGCTTATATACAATAAATAGCCTGTTCTGCCAGCATTGGTGGCGGTGTAGCTTTTTCCTTGGTAATTTCTTGAATAGGATATTGTTTTCTGGTTGATTATCTGATGTTAATCCCTGCAAATTTGGATATTGGCCTGCTAGAAAGGATGTGTTTTGAACTTTTAGTTCCCTTCTTTTTTGCCTCCTTTGAATAATGTATAAATATGGTTTATCTGTATGTGTCTATTGATGGCTGGTTTGTTTTAATGACAAACTTCCAGGAATTTCCAAGTGTTTTTGGATTTAGCCCATCTGCAAGCAAACAATACTCAAATCAGTGAGTTACCAAAGAGAAAAACCACACCCCACCAACATTGGTAGAGAAAACTACTATGCCTTGTAGAGCAACCCCCACACTATTTAGTAGTGATGATATTACTTAGATGGGTAATGAAAGATCTACAAGCAAACAACCAAGCTCAGAGAGCACCAAGGACTCCACAGTTCAACCATGAATTACATATATTCTCTCTTATTGGAACATATTTTTAAAGTATAATATATTCTCTGTGCATCCTGTCAGTTACTGCATTGTGAATGAGACCAGCAGATATCTGAGGTATATGCTTGCAATTTATACAAAAGACAATACATACCCGAATGCCTTTCTGCCCATTTGGCAAACCATTTCAAAGCACAATCACAAGTCCAAGGGTTTCCATGAAGATAGAGGCTTTCTAGTTCAGACATATATGAGAAAATGTCTTGTGGCAGAGAAGTCAGGAAGTTGTCTGACAGGTAGATATGCTTTATAACAGATGTTCTGAACACCTCGAGGTACCGCAAAGTGACAAAAGTATCTGGATGAAGTTGTTTAAGTAAATTTCCTTCCAAATGGACTAACTTCAGCGATGTGAGACCATATAAAGCTTTTGGGTTTACAAATTCAATTTTATTATGATCCATGTGCAAACGTACCAAAGCCACGAGACCATGAAATGTGTCTGCTTGAATAAGTTTGATCTGATTATAGCTCATCTTTAAGATCTGTTGATAAAAAAAGAGAAAAGGAATCTAAGCTGAAGTTATATGTAATTCAAAGTATTCTAGAAAGTGATTTTCAGACTAACACAACAATAGAATATGATCTCAGTTCACACATTATCCTAAACCATGTGGTTTCATTGATTTTTGACTTAGTATATTATATATCCCAACATTATGGTTAAACCATTTGTAAACTTATGAATGAACCTGTAATTATGCTGTGACTCTTATTTTTTATCAAATATGTTTAGGATTGTAGCCATTTATCAATGAGAAGAATGATGAAAATGAAAAGTGAATAGAGTATAATAAACTTAGATCTTATACTCCTCAGAACCATTGTTTTTTCCCCCTAACAACAGGTTTGAGGGCAAAATTTTGCCAACTATAAACAAAATCAGTAATGGACAATTTTCAGCTTAATCTTACCTTTAACGAATGTAAATCAGAGAATGTCTTTTCTTGAATTGTATGTATCTGATTACTGTGTAACATCAACAACTCCAGTTTCTCCAGGCCAGAAAAATCTGTCTCAGTCAGTTTAACCAAATTGTTGTAACTGTAACAAATATTTCATTCTATTAGTTAGTCAGCTAGAGTTCAAACATAAAACAAACAAAAATAAAAGCTTTCGTCTGAAGGTGTTTAAGCAGACTGTAATTAAATTTTGTCATTTAAAGTTGAAAATACTTTGATCAAAGCAATAACAAATGAAAATGAAAGAAATGGCTCTTGTTTTCATGCACTCGGGTGTAACCTAATTAATGTTAAATCTATACAATTTCTCTGTTGTTCCTCTCAAAGTGTTCTGATAATAAAAACAATGAAACACTACAGATATAATATGTTTACACTGCAAAGTACTATCAAACCATCACGAACACAACATGTGTATGAAGAACATGGAATAGTTAGAAAAAGGCTTAGAACCTAACCTCTTAATATCTTTAATGCATGGAACCCTCGACTTACAACAGTTCGTTTAGTGACCATTTAAAGTTACAACAGCACTGAAAAAAGTGACTTATGACTGTTTTTCACACTTACAACCATTGCAGAATCCCCATGGTCACATGGTCAAAATTCAGATATGTGTTCATATTTATGAGGGTCGCAGTGTCCCAAGGTCATGAGATCACCTTTTGCAACCTTCTGACAAGCAAAGTCAATGGGAAAGCCAGATTCACTTAACAACCATGTTATTAAATACTGCAGTGATTCACTTAACAACTGTGGCAAGAAAGGTCATAAAATGGGCAAAGGTCACTTAACAAATGTCTCACTTAGCAACAGGAATTTTGGGCTCAATTGTGGTCCTAAATTAAGGACTACCTGTATTCAAATTCAGGGTGTTTACAGATAATGAGGGTTCAATCAAATATTTATTGCTGTCATAGACCAGTATAATAGTGAGGTTTTTTAATGGGGTTGAGGTAGATCAATAGTAGCAAAACACAAATAAAAATAACAATGCATGTTATGATATATAATAATATAAATAAAATAAATAATTAAGAAAGTATTTTACAAGATAAGAAGCAAAAACAGGAAGGCATCCTAAAAGCAATCAACATATTTCAAACAGAAGGTATTTCTATTTGAAACAAAAAAAAAAATCAATTTATCAGGCATAACATGCTGTATAAAACGCAAAAGTTTTGCCCACTGGAGGCTTGGATGGAAGTTCCAGAGTAGAGGAGCAATTTCCAAAAGAATTTCTCTATCCCACCACAGAATGATAAAAGGCTTTTCCAGTTTCAAGTCTAGATAATCACAGTGATTGGGAACCATGAATTATATACATTTAATAAATAATAATTTGGGTTTGCTGCACGGTTCAGCTATCATCTTAGAATCATCTTCCTATGGTTTCTTTCCATAAATACTTGCATACAAACAATTGTCCATCTTGAAAGAGATTCTTATAAGCAACAACAGATCATTGGCTCTGCATTCTAGTGAACTTGTTGCCCCCCCCCAAGTACTGTATACTGTCTGTACTAAAAATCCCTCTTATGAGGCATAACACATGAGAGAATTATTCCATGCATTCAGAGATGTTTCTATATTATTTGTGACATGAAAAGATGAGGAATTCCTGAATTCTCTGCATCTTACGGAATATAGGGTAATTATTCAATGCACCCTAAATGCTGAAGGCATTCATGAACAGTGATCATCTTTCATGTTTATAAATGCCAGCAGGCCTCTGAAAGCATGAATATTTCTTCACTGCCAAAGTCTCAGAGAAATTGCTGAATTATGAGTGACCACTAAAATATTGCTAGTTATCAAAGCAGCCTCAATTTATGGTTCATTGACAAAGATGATTTTTTAAGCCAATTTGCATACATAAGTTTTAAACAAATGCCATAACAACTTTGAGCTGAAACTGTTAACTATAACATTGCAGTACTGGGAAGATGATAGGATTTAGATTTCCCTTGATCAACTTTTTAAAAATGTTATATACAAACATTTTAAAATGTTTTATCCAAAATATAAGCATACATTATCGCATACTAAATTTGGATTCTATATTCTGTAGGATCTACTAAAAATGAACCATTATCATTGTTCCTTCCTTCCTTCCTTCCTTCCTTCCTTCCTTCCTTCCTTCCTTCCTTCCTTCCTTCCTTCCTTCCTTCCTTCTTCCTCCCTCCCTCCCTCCCTCCCTCCCTCCCTCCCTCCCTCCCTCCCATCTATTGTATGAGATGGTTCCAAGTATAATTTGAAGAGTTACATTCAATATAGCTAGGACAACATGAATGTAATTCATAACTGTCTGAAATGAACCATGGGTGTGCAGATGTATACAGGGTTGCATTTACACTTCTGATTTCTAAACTCTGAACTTTGCCTTCTTTTTCAAAAGCAAAATGAATGGTTCAGCTCATGATTCAGAATAAAGTCTTCATTTTCCAAGCAAACATGGTTCATCTTAACTGGTTGCATATCATAAGAACCTTGGCTCCTAATTACACTGTTTCATCATTTAAATCCTTATTAGACTTAGATGTGAATGACTGAGTTCAAACTTCATAAGCCAGAATTAGGAACAAAAACTAAACCTGGATTCAGGAAGCTGTGGCTTTCAAGATGTATATAGTCAATCTACAGCTCCGAACTCTATTCTACTTAAGTTATGCTAGCTGGGGTTGCTGGAATTGTGGTTCACAATAAAAATGTCCAAAAGTTTCTCATACCCCTACTAAACAAATCCTAGATAATTTTAATCTGATTTGTTTCCTAAACTCTCCCAAACAAGCCAGACATTAAAGTAAACAAGATAAATTTATTTAATTTCACATGGAACAGCACAGGATTTATTCTTTACTGTATTTGGGATATTGCTCCTCTTAATTGCTGAAAAATTATTTACACAAATAAAACATTATTTAAAGCATTAAATAATGCTCTAAATGTTTCAAATTAAATAAATGGTTTAAAGTTAAAACTTTACAATTTTTTAATCTGAATTGCTTCAACAGTTATTTCATATTAAAAGGAAAACAAAAATAATTCCTTCCGTCTCTTGGCTCACATGTTCATTGCTGACCAACCACAGAACCCTTCTCTCTTATTCGACAGTTAGAAGGTAACTGTTTCTGGAGATGCTTTATATTTTCCTCTTCAACAACTAAAGTAAGTAGTAGAATGTACCATACACTTATGCATCCTCTGGTGTATGAACTTTCTTATGCTTCTAAATAGAGAAAGAAACCAAATCCTAGCTGACTCAATTTATGTTAGATGCTGATAACACATCAAGGATGCCATCGTTTTTGACCTATACCAGGCACTCTTACCCATCTGCCTTTATTATTTTTTCTTTTTTAAATTTAAAAAAAAATTACAATCAGCTGTTTGTCTTGTATATCCTTTCTATTTACAATAAAGCTTCTGGAACTCACATTGTTCTTCATTTCCAATTCTTCATGATCCAATGGACATTCATTTACCAGGATTGCCTATCTGTAACCCCTTTGATTTCTGGTAAATTTGTGCGTGTAATAATAGTCACTTTATCTTTTCTCATCCTATTTTCATTCATTTTTATTTTCCTAAGGATCATGGTCTTGTCCAGTGACTCTTACCTTTTTTTATGTGTACACAATAGGTTCAGATTCTTTATTAATGCTTTCAATGACTAGTCTGGTTTTACTTCATCCAGAAATAGAGATTTAATCCTTTTGCAATCCAAAGAATTTTCAGCAATTTTCTCCAACACCACAGTTCAAAGGCATTTGTTTTTAATTTATTCAGTCTTTCTGATGATCCAATTATCACTGCCATATTTTATAACTAGGATAACCACATCTTTGGCAATATGCACCTTTATTTTTTGTTGACACTGTGATGTGTATGCACTTGAATATGTTGTTTAGATTTGTTGTGATGTTTCTCCTCAGAAGCAAATTTCACTTTATTTCATGACAATAGCCTTTATTTCCTGTTACTGATCCTATGAAGATAAAGTATTTCCTGTTACTGATCCTATGAAGATAAACTTCTTCTCCACCTATTTATATCAGAATGGCATTAATATAATCTTATAACTATTGATATAATCTTAGGCTTCCTAAATTATTGACCAGAATTTCACTTTTTCCATTTTCTTCTTTATATTCAACAAGAGATTCCTTAGGCTTTCCTCATTTCCAGCCATCAAACTGGTATCAACAGCATTTCTAAAGTTGTTGGTGTTTCCCTCAGCAAATTTCATTCTGATCTTTAGTTCTTCTAATCCAACTTTTTTCATGATATAGTCTTCATGAAAGTTAAGTAAATAAGGTGACATTATACAACCTTGGAACATTCCTTCCCCAATTCTAAACCATTTAGTTGCTCCAAATTCTCTTCTGTTGCTTCTTGATCAATAAGTGAATGTTTCAATAAGTAGATGAGATGATCCAGCATACTCATATTTTGAAGAACCATCTACAATTTGTGGATAGCATTGTCAAAAGCATTCATATAATTAATAGAAGAAGAAAAAAGCTTTTGGGAGGTCCTTGCCGTTTCCATTATGCACCAGATGTTTGAAATCTTGGGAGCCTCTGCATCTTCTAAATCCAGTTTATATATATATATGATTTATGGACTTGACAGTTCTGATACTATATACTGTTGTAATCTGGATTGCAAAATTTCAAGCATTATTTTACCAGCATCTGAATTAAGAAAGCCAAATGCCCCACACATTGGATCCATAAAAGGGATGACTATATTTCTGTGCCATGCTTGGAACTATATCTACTCACCAGAAAAAAGACAAAGGATAACTGGATTGATGTATGTTCTGGAGCAGAAGGTAGAAATCAACAAACTTAGCTTTTTTCTGATGTTCAGTGACTATCATATCCATTATGGTAATAATTTTGTGAATAGCCAGGCAATCCTCATTTGCAAATGTACATACAAAATATGGTCAAGTTTTCAAATTTCTACTTGTCTAAAATTCCTGAACCATGAAAGGCATAAAAAAATGTTGTATGCATGTGTTTTAATTTATCACCCTAGGCAAATTAAGCAATATTTGAACTCTTATAAATTAATGCCAGGAGGCTTCTTGCCATTAGTTTGCTCTGAAAATTTTTTATAACAGTGAACATGTTAGTCTGTTAGTTTGTTCTCATTACTATTTCTTACTGTCATGCAGTCATAATTTTCATTTTGTTCCTATCAATTATCAGTGAAAGAGATGAATAAGATGTTGTTTCCCATTTTTATAAGGGAAAAAAAAACTAATGAAATTCCAAAAGGAGATGGTTTGCTGTCCCTCCACTGTTCAATATCCAAAGTAGTGGATGCATTAGACAAGATCTGGCTATTTACATTTGACAATTCATAATAAGGATGAAACCAGTCACATGCTGCCTCTTAGTTTTCTGTGTAACAGGTCACTAGTATGTGACAGTATGAATATAATAACTAACTGCTTTCTTTTAAAACAGCTGTGACTTCTTGGATAAGAACACTATACTTTTCAGTTACTACATGTTCCCATTAAAAAACAGCTACTTTCACAGTTTCTAATAGTGCTTGTTTGGGCTTCTGCAGGTTTCAAAACCATGCTTTTGTAATGTAATTGGAAGCATTGTGCAGCATTATTATTTAGTTAAGAGATTCCATTATCTCTCTAGTAATCTGAGCCTCCTTCAGTTAAAGTAGGCAGCTACTGTAGAAAGTATAAAATGCTGAGTAGGGGTAAGAATGAAGAAAATAGCAATCGCACTTAGACTTATATACTGCTCCATAGTGCTTTATAGCACTCTCTGAGTGATTTACAAATGTTAGCATATTGTCCCCAACAATCTGGGTCCTCATTTTACTGACTTTGAAAGGATGGAAGGCTGAGTCAACCTTGTTACGGTCAGGATCGAACTCCTGGCAGTGGCAGAGTTGGCCTCCAGTATTACATTCTAATCACTGTGCCACCATAGCTCCTAACATACAACACCATCAAAGAGTAGCAAGTAAGTTCAAAAATGTTATTAAGAGAGCCAGTTTGGTCTAATAGTTAAGGCACCAGACCAGAAAGTGGGGGACTGTGAGTTCAAGTCTCAACTCAGCCATGGCAGCCAGCTGGGTGACCTTGAGCCAGTCATTCTCTGTCAGCCAACCTAGCTCATAGGTTATTGTTGTGGGGAAAATAGGAGGAGGAATTTGTTTGAGATATGTTCACCACTTTGAGTCCTTTGTAAAAATAATAAAGGCAAACAAACAAACAAATAAGTAAATAAATAAATAAATAAAATTGAAATAAATTCTTAAACATCATGAAAAAAGTAGAAAAAGAGAAACCTCTTTTCATAGGTGAAGGGAAGTTCTGAGAGACTGCAAAACACATTTTAGCACAGCATTACTAATTGCAGGATTTCAGCATTATCATGCAAACCTACCCTAAATTGATGCGTTCCACATTTTGGGAGATATGCAAAGGGACAGTAGTAAGATATCGGAAGGTGCAGTGGACTTCAGTCGGTACATAGCAGGCACAAAGCTTAGGACAGGCACTGCTGCCAGGAAAGACAGCCAAGAAGAAACCAAAGAGGACTCCTACTACATAGGGATGGTTTCCTTTTTCTCCTTTCATCTTGCATAACAAAAGTTTTAAACCGACCATCCTTCCAGCCAAGTGTGAACAAAGAATGCTCTAGAAAATGACACAACAGAAAGCATCAGGTTAAGATGGCACATCAAAAGGTTGTGGCTTTGAGCAGGCTACTTTTACTTAGTTTTTCTTAGCAGTTCTACAGAAAAGCTACACATTTAACCTGTAGCCTTCGGATGTTCTGGACTGCAGCTCTCTTCATTGCCAGTCAGAATGGAGTTTACCAGTTGGAAAAATGGGAAGTTCAGTCCAACACACTTAATGAATGGCAGACTGGAGAAGGCTGCCATGAGAGTTACTTCTTCAAGGAAAAAAAATCAGCAGTTTAAATACCCATAAGCATTATAGGCAGTCCTCAATTACTGATGATAATTGGAACCCAAATACATTGCTAAGTGTAATCGTTATAAAGCATGTCAGATGACCACATTGCTTAGTGATGACAATTCCAGAAATCCTTAGGCAAGGATCTGTCCCAATCCAAGCCATTTTCAGCTTGATCTCTCCCAGGCCTAAACCTCATAAGAGCCTCTAACTCCACCCATTTGACTGTCTCTGCCCCTTTGGCCATCCTGTGCTTCATTTGCCCTTCTGCCTCGCTCCACTCCCCTTGCCATCCTGCACTCCACTACCCCTGCAAAAACTTTACAAGAAGATCATACAGAACTTGGATAAGGGCCCAGGTGGCCTTGACAAAAAGGACTGGCACAGCCAGCAGCTGCCTCACAAAGCATCAGGCCAGGTGAGCTCTTTAAGAAGACGGTGAAGATACTGGAAGTTGCAGGGCCGATCATGTGGCAGGGCAAGTACAGTGTAGGGCAACAGAGGGCAGGGTAACAGGTTGAATGGAGCATAAGGAAGTTCCAGTGCCGACTGCAGAGTGGCCAAAAGGGGAAAAATGGGGGATGATATAGGTGGATGGGGAGAACTGAAATGCCCTTGCAGCCAGTAATAAGTGCTGGTGGGCTGCCAAGAACACAAACTTTGATTATGTGGCCAAGGAGATGCTGCAATGTCTATATCTTTGGGGACCAAGGATAAATACTATTTGTTTAGCTCTGCTATAAGTTTGCTGAATGAATGGTCATTAACCAAGGACCATCTGTCTCTTTCCTTTAAACATTCCTAACAAGGTTTTTGCTTTTAGTGAATGTAACAGGGAATAGGAGAAGTTGTTCACAAGTATTAAAATTAAAATTAAAATCTGGAGTTTGACATACTACTGAAACTGGAATTTGAACAATCTGCTTGGTGAACCACCGTTTTATTTTCAAAGCACTCATAAATCTGCTTGTGATTTGTTTTTTTGCTGACAAATACATCAATTTTTCCCAAGCAATTTGCCAAGCAAATTAAGCCTCAAAGAATTAGGAGTTTAAGAAGACAACCGTCCTAGCAAAAAAAAAAAACAACTAAAGAAGCAACAGCAACAGTGAAAACAATTAAATGTTTTCCTACTTTCTTCCATCTTTATAGGGAACAAAAGCTATGCTTCATCTTGTCACTGCCAACTTCTGTTTCATTCTGGTTTATCGTTTTTATTTTTGCTACTTGAGTAGATTAGAATTAGTTTAATGGAAAATAAGAGTGCATGTTATGTTTGGATGAATTATTATTCTCTTACAAATATTTTAAAAACTAGACTTTGCAGTTCTATGACCTCAAAGAGGATAATGTCATTCTGGGGCCATTTGTGCCTTGATCAAACAGAAGAGGCAGAATAAGAAATCTTAGCTTTTTAAGGTTTCATTTCCTCAGAATGTTTTCAGAAATGTTTGCTTTGTTGATTTCACTCTTACTAATGTCAATGGGAGGTATTTAATTAAACAATAACTTAATTGCTTATAAATGTAAATGTACCTTCTATTCTAGGTACAATAAATTGCAAGGTGCAGAAGCTGTGGTTTCTCCCTTCCTTCCAAACTATAGGATTCTTTTCCTAATAATATTTTGAAACTGAAATTAGTTTAAACACTAAAAACTGGATTTCCCATCTTGGATATTTTCAAATATCCAAAATTCTTGGTAATTCTTATTCAAGCGTTATATCAGTATGGAATGATGTAGGATTATAATGTTGGTGTAGTTGTAAAAGAATAATGCTCAAATCTCTGGTCCCCTTTGAAGTCTATAGAGTGACTGGGCTTTTATGAAAAATGTTTATTCTACCCCAAGTTATTTAGAGAAGTGGTACTAAATAAATGAAAGTACTAATAATTATTTTTAGCCTCAATTTCTCTTCCCAACCCAAAACCTCAGATACCATATCATAAAATACAGAAGTTATTTAAATCAGTGATCGTCTGATTCCCATGTAATGCATTATAGATCACTCATTTGATGTCATATTTGTCATTACTAGATGACAAATCTCTTTCTGGATGACCAGCATGTGTGAAGATTTTAGATTCATTCTTAATTTTGTTTTCTCCTTCCCTTTCATTTATCAGGACTGTCACATGTAAATAGTGGTCTGCACAAGATGGTCTTTTAGGGGACAAAAAAATGAAAAGTAAAGGTAGTTTCAATTGTCCTTTGAAATTACTGTACAGTTGTTTAGAAATTGCTCTTCTGTCCACCTGGAAATAGATCTACATTAAAAAAAATGCAACAAAACCACAACAAAATAAGCATCCTCCCTTGAAGAAATTCAGAGAAATCCAAATTTAATAAAAAGCTTTTGTGCAGTGTATTTTGTTTTAAAAGTTCTTGTCAGTTCATTTCAATGAATCTGATGCCTGCCAAGAAATTACAGCAATGTACAGTAGTTAAGCGCCTTAGCGACAAGAGTTAAAGTCTACACTGTAATAAATAGCCTTTACGGTTGAAACCGGGAAATGCCTTATCCATATTAGCTCAGAAATAGTTTTCACTCTCTTGCAACCAAACCGACGAAGTGTCTGCAATATGTTGAATATTATTATGGTATATTTTCACGAATTGGTGCCTACTACAGACGGAGCCAGGGAATCAGGTGGTTATTTTGCAAAGCAGATAGTTTTCATTTAAAAGAAAAAAAAGTCCCCAGACTTAAGATTGGGCTGGCGAGGAAAAAACAGACACCAGAAGGGCTTTCCAAAAATATCATTCCGGGAAATAACACGTAAAAAACGTACCTGAACTTTATTATTCTTACTCTCTAGTGTGGATCCGCGTGGATGTCTCCTTACACCCGTGGGTGTAGCTCCTCGATAGCCTCGCTTGCAGGGAGGACCCGAAAGATGCGCGGCGCGTGAGGGAAGCCGCTGCATGGGAGCGCGAGTGGATCCCAGTTTGGGAGGATAAAAACACGCCCCTGGAGCAGGCGGGGTGGGGAGCCGGAGTCTCCACGCGTACTGTCCCTCTAACGCCGCTTCAGTTGTCTTTTGCCCGGTCGCCTTTGGTGGGAAGCTTTCCAGACCTCCCGGCTTCCCCGGATCGCCCAACGTCTCAGAAGGTCTTAGCCGAGGGTGGAGGTCGCATCGACGACCCCTTCATTTTCTCAGACATCCGCTTGGTCTCTTCAGTTTGGGTAGACGCGCTTCCTTCCCCCCCCCCTCCCGGAGGAAGAAAGGGGAGGAGGCACAGTTGAGGGGCCGCCTGCAATGGCAGGTCCTCCAGCTTGCCGGGGCAGCCTGGCTAAGCGAAACTCGGACTCCTGTTTGGCCGTACCAAAGTTGCTTTTTCAAAAGGCAACTGGGACTTTTGTCTTTTCTTTGAAGACGTTTCGCTTCTCATCCAAAATCTTGTTCTTGGAAGAGAAGCGAAACGTCTTCAAAGAAAAAACAAACTCCAATTGTCTTTTGAAAAAGCACCATGACCTGGATGACTGACAATCTCCGTGGACATCTGTCTGGTCCTAGTCCCAGAGGAACTTCCCCCGCCGCCACTCGGTTCTTGAGGACTGTTTCCCCCTTTAAAGCAAGGACCGCCAAACTTGGCAACTTTAAGACTTGTGAACTTCAGGTCCCAGAATTCCCTAGACAGCATGTGGGGACACCCTGCCCTATAGAGGGAGTGGCATCCTTCACAGGCTTCAAAGTAGCACCATTTCGCCACTTTGCCCCCTCCCTTGAAGTTCTCCTTCAGTTGAGCACGCGGAGCTGACAGATGGAGTTGCAAGATTGAGAAAGTAGGAAGTACAAAGGACAAGGCGTGTGTCCCCCTGCCCCCCCCCCCCGCAAACAATAGACAAAGTTTCTAATGCGGTCAACTTTTCAGGTACAATCTGGAGGAAAAGCTAAATACTGAAACTAACTCATTATTCTCAACTAGCCCTTGCAACAGCGTTGGCTGGAAATTCCAGGATTTGGCCTTGATATATCTGTATGGTGCTAAACTGGGGACAGCGTGGAGTGGGGAAAGGGGAATACTGGCCTCGAATGGGTAGATACATTCCAATATTTTTCTGCCCTCCATCTTCCACCATAATTCCAGGGTTATCTTTCCCATTGGTAAAGATAGTGCTTTGCAACAAAGTCTTAAATCTAAGACACCTTTCTTAAAACTGCCAAATTGGAAGGATTTCTGGTTCTACAAAATGTTACATCAGGCAAGATGTATGAATCACACTTTCCTCTTCCAAATTATTTCCCATTCTTCCCAAGGCGTAGACCTCCTATATTTAGACTTCAGAGGTTTGAATATAAATCCTGTTGGAACACTGTTAGTTTGTACATCCAACTCTGTTGCTTTTATATAACTTGGCCATTCTCATTCCAACATTTTAATTATCCCTACTGGGCCAACAAATATTAATATTCTTTTCTTAAATAAGTCCAGACATTAGGCAAAGCCACTTATTTATATTGTCAACATATTGACAAATGTTAGCTATCAACAGTTTTTAGGAAATCTTCATTTAATGTTATTCTCATGTTTTTTTTTCTTTGCTTGGTGAAAATCCTATTTTGGCTTTCTATTTGATGCCAAATATTTTTCAACCACTCTGGTCTGCACTATTGTAATTATTGCAAGGGTTTTTATTACGAGATTTCCATTGGTTGTTTCTTTATATTTGTTTGTAATTTTATTAGAAATTTAAGGTTGAAGTATGAAAAGGATTTTCCCCTAATGAGAAATCAGGTTATTTTGAATTCATAGTAAGTGTTTCTCTATTATAATCTTTATAGATTATAACAATAATCTATAAAGTTTACATCCTGCAAAAATACCTTTATCACCATCAAAGAACAACACCTGCTTATTCAGGTCCTTGGAAGGGGCTTGATAGGTGGATTAAAATGCCAAATCCAGTCTAAACATCTGGCTGACTGTGCAGCGAGCCATTTTTAAATTGCTGCATCCAGTTTAAACATCTGGCTGACTGTGCAATGGACCAAAGTTGCACCACCTGGAGACAGCAAAAGAGAAAGAACTGGGGAAAAAAATCACAAAATGCACAAGGCTTGCTGATAGCAGTAGAACAACCATGAAAAAAGAAAGCAAAGATAATATCATTAGTAATAAGCACCTCTTGAACACCATCAACATTGATGAAGTCGCCATCAGATAATTGCAAAAGGCAGCTTTCATTGAAACAGCTTACATCCTGTGACATCTTTAATACCATCAAACAACAACATCTGTCTAATGCAGGTCCTTGAGAAGGCCTCAATAGATGGATAAAATACCAAATCCAGACTAAATATCTAGCTGACTGTTGACCAACCATAATAATGATATAGTATCTTCTAAAAAACATGGGTTTACCCATTCTTCTTATTCACTAGATTTGCTTAATATTTTTGAATTTCATATGGTGCTGTCAATCTGTACCTTCTTTTTAAAGCGATCAGGTCCTTTTGTATTTGTGTATTTAGATATATTGTCTTACTAAATTACATATTATATTGCTCCTGGTTGATGCATTTGAAATGGGTCCTGTCAAAAATCAATGAAGCCGTATTTTCAGTTATCATGCGTATAGAAGGATATTGCTAGGGAACTGTTTAGGGCAGTTCTTCCTCAGCAGAAATCAGCTAGGTAGCCCTTTAAGATAAGGTTGCACAGTTTAACTGAGCTGCTAGATGGAGGTCAGGACAAAGGCACATTTTCAATTTTTTTCAACAAGTGTTTTCCATTCAAGATTTGCAGAGGGACAAAGAGAAACTGTTCACATTCGTATTAATAAAATGGTGCTGAAAAATAGGATGAGGAGCATCCATAATCCAGCAGGTGAAACATTTCTCATCAGTTATGGCAGCAGAATGCAAGGATGCAGGATGATATTGCAGATTTGCAGGCATCGGAGAATCATGTACAATTCATTCGCTGAGGGGTTTTCTTCTGACTTGCCTGCTTTGCTGAACTCAGGCCTAGAAGGACAAATGATGTCCTGCAACTTTTTTCTGAAGCTTAATATCCATATGCTGAACGGGTGGTATTGCAATTATAGCTATCAATTAAACTATGGATCAGATTCCCAAATAAAGAGGACATAAAATTATTTATCTAAAGAGACAAAATATCTAACATATGCTAATGCTAGAGTGCAAGCATTTCTTGTCCAAAATTTTTGCCACACCCATTGTACTAGCAAGCAGGAAATTTTTTAAGGAGGCTTTTAAAAAGTTTAATAATTCAACACTACAGTGATACTTTCCCCTTTGTATTGATACATGCAACTCTGACTAATGCATAGGGCAGTAGTGGCGAACCTATGGCACGAGTGCCAGAGGTGGCACTCAGAACCCTCTCTGTGGGCACTCATGCCATTGCCCCAGATCCATATCCCCTCATGGCCCCCTCCTCACTAGCAGCCCTTCCGAAGCTGGCATGGAGCAGCACAGCCAAAGACATGGCAACCGGGAAGCAGGGACAAAACTCTGCCCTTATGCCTCATCAAGTAGCAGATGATGCTGTGGGGTGCGGGCAGAGGGCATGGCTGCCATGGCACTGCTGGGACACCTGGGCAATCTGTGGCAGGCAGAGGAGGCAGTGGGTGGCCCTGTGGGTGGGCGGGACCGGGCTGGGGGTGGAGTGGGAGTGTAGCGGGAGTAAAGTAGGGGCAGGTGGGGCTGGGTTTTGGCCACTCGGTCTCTAAAAGGTTTGCCATCACTGGCATAGGGAATGAGTGGAATAGAAATAGGGATTTTTTTCCCATTCTTGCCTTTACCTTCCCAACTACATTCATCCTGACAGGGGCTTTCTTTCTTTTGTCTCTTACCAAAATTCAACAATCAAGAAAAGGAATAGCCATTTGACTTTAGATTGGAGAAAGTGAAGATTGACCAAGGCCAGACAAAGCACTAAGCCACAGTTTTTAAATCATCATTTATTGAATAAACCTGAATAAATGATATTCATATAGCATAGAAAACACAAATATATTAATCATATTTTAGCTTTGTCTAGTTCTTGAATGGTAGGATATGGATTTATTTGTTCATTCATTGCATTTGTATACTGCTACAGTAAATCTCATAAAATTCCAAGCAGTTAGCAGTGATGCCCAGATAAAACATCTATTTAAAATATTCATGGTAAAAAACCCCAATAAAACACATAAAATACAGTGAGAAACAAATCTCTGTAGAAAAGCTTAATTTGGAGCATCGTCCTTAATAAAATCAAAGTAGCCTCAATTGAAAGGGTAAACCCAAAGGACCACAGAAAAACAGTAGTTCTGCACCTCAGTTGTCCTAATTTCATAGAATCAGGACACAACTAGAATTGTCTGCCAGGAAATCCTGATTCTCCAGTGGATTGTTACAGGACATAGTTATCAGTCTGCCTAATTTCTCTAAACATTTGGAAATAATCTATTAGGTGATTTTCTAATAGATTATCACGGGTACCACAAACTTTTTAGAAGGTTTAACGTTATTCCTAACCTACATCTTATTGAGAATTCTAGGAACTGTACTGCCAATACCTTTGGAAAACACTATAATCTGCTGTCAACCCTTTCTCATTAATCCAGTTTGGATGGCAAATAGATTGATTCCTGCCCTAATCTAAAGCAGATGTTTCTGAATTGTACCTGCTGGCAATCCTTTACCAATGTCAAAGAATTCTGGCAGTTGTATTTCAGCATCTGGAAACACAGTTGAACCACCCGTGGCATGATACCGAAGTAAATGTAAGTCAATTCCATTGTACTGATATCATGTAAATTTCAATAAAACCATTTTAATAAAGATACTTTACAATAAATATCTACTCCAAGGGAACATATTTCCTAAGGAATATTGCTTTGGCTGTGATAATTCAGGTTTAAAACAGATTATATGTGATTTCCCTTGAAAATGATCCAGAGATTTAATCTGAAGTACTTCCTTTTATTCATCTACAATTGCATCAGATGTCAAGGTATACCTGGTCAAATGATATTTTCCAATGAATTTACAAGATGACAAAAGTTGACATAGTATGGTATAGTAGAAGTTAAATGCTACATCTTTCAGCAAAATGATAGCTCATCTGAGGAAAACCCATAACTGTTTCAATAGTTTTAAGCAGCAGATCATGAAATGGCAACACTCCTATGTCCATTAGTCAAGCTTTCTGGTTTATTATATCAAGTAATATAGTGT